ACATACAGTGATCCACAAGGGATGTCATAGGCATTGAGTTTGAATTTTCTAGCAGCGTTAACATGTTTTATGGATGTTGTTGTTACCTTCAACTAAATGGAAGCTGTGAGGTGTTTAGTATCAGGAACAGCTTGGAGGAACAAGCTGCCCATTTGAGTAATGCAAGTACTGTGGAGCAATATGAAGGGGTCTGATGTGGTGGACATCTAGGAGATGGTTTCACAACTTACCAATTTCCTTTATGGTGATTGGGCAAGATTCTTGATGAAATAAAATGCTTGTAATGGTTCTCCTTTCTGTCAACATAAGATCCTCGTTTCTCAGCTGATAGGATTACTAGTAGTTGTAATCTAGGTGCCACTTTAAAGGAAAGAAAATTATGGGTTGTTTTGAACAGCCATTCTCAACAAGGGTTTTGTGGAATCTTAAGCTGGCCATACACGTGTAGATTTTCAGACTAGAATATTCGTACGAAAATTCTTTAAACATTTGGTGAATGAACGAATGTCCTTCGAAAATTGTCTGTTGCTTTTAACATCTGAGTTTAAAAATGAATGTAATTTCTGAATGATCACCACTTACACTGGCCGAAAATTTATTTGATCTAGAAAAATTTTCCTTCCTGCCCCTTCAAATTTTCCCGTCACTGCTGTCGAAAACGAACATCGATTTGACTCCACTAATGATTAGAAAATCAAATGAAAATTTCTGAAATGAAAATTCTCGAATGAAAATCTATATGTGTATGGCCAGCTTTAGGGTCTCTCCTGACATTGCAGGGGTATTTTTGAGCTGTGGCTGATTGACATCCGATCTGATGGTGCCTCTCCACTTCCAAGGCCACTGGGTCTTTTATTTTTTGTGCTACAAACAAAAAAAGACCAACAATTAAAAAAAAAACACTACTATTTTTTTACTTTTTGCTATAAAACATATCCAATAAAAAATAAATAAAATTTCTTCATAAATTTAGGCAAAATTGTATTCTGTCTTTGGTAGAAGAACAAAAGCCAATAAGTGTAAATTATTTGGTTTGCATGAAAATAAAAGCGCTATGAACAATCGTATAGTCGAGCAAAGTAGTGCAAGCACCTTTTCAAAGTCATTGCAACATTGTTTCACTGGTTTGAACAGGTGCCATTAAAAATAATGGGCTGTGATTCGTCATGAAAATTTGATGTCCAAAGTTGAATGACAAGTGTGAATGGAGCATTATTAAATTTTTTTTTTATACATATTTCACTCCTTTGGGATTATAAATGGTAAAAGGGTTGCTTTGGGTTTTGCCACCCTCCTAATCAGGTGTTATGAATGACTAATTTTGGACAGGTCTCTCACCAGTGATAAGCTTTGTGTATTTTTCTAGGAGCCTGCGACTGCCAAGGAGATTTCAGAAGCTGTTCATTAGCCACACGGGTGCCACGGATGAGCAGCTACTGAACCAGGTTAGGAGCCATTATTATGAATCCACCAACCATGGTCTTTATATGTGGACACGCAAGTTATTTTCTAATCTACAAAAATTACATTTCCATTTCAATCAACTGCTGACTATGATTACCTAAACCTTTCAAATATCTCAATCCTGTAGCCATGGCTGAAGTTCTCATCCCCCTGCTCCTGCAATTGACTCGCAGCTTTTTCCAGAAAGTATGCACAAAGAATGGGATACAATTGGCCCCCTTATTTATTGCATTTTTATTGCATTATTGCAAGTATTTCTTTGGTGAAATACTTGTCATTTTCTTTTTTCTTCTCTGTAACTTTGCTTTTCATGAATGCCTCCAAAAAAATTACAAAGCAGAAGCTGGTTCACACAAAAACTCCTGCTAGTCGCTTGTTCTGAATATGAATTCCTGGTGTGATCGGATGTGATCTGGGCTCTTCTTATACTTCCTTCATCTTGTTCTAGGCAGCTATGTAAACTCAAATGTGCCTATATTCCTTTGTAATACAGTCTAAAAGCATGGCAGGTGAGGCTGGGGCTGTGGTACGGATTAATTAAAGTATATGTCAACTCTAAATTTATTTTCAAGTATGTTTGCCATTGTGTCTCACAGGGGGGGGATTTACTAAAACTGAAGAATCTGGTGCAGCTGTGCATGACTGTTGGACTTGCAGAATCCCCGAGGCTAATACTTACCTACCCCCCTTAAAAACACCACCACCCCTTCAAAACCTTTCCACCCAAATAAACACGCAACTCTCTTTTTGGTGTAAAACCGGCCATAGCAGCCATTTATTTAACATAACTCAAACATAAATTTATTACAGTAACTCAATTGATACCTGACAGTAAAATACCACCCGGGGTCCAAGGTCTCTGAAGGCACCATTACTCCCATCACCAACTCGGCTGTATCTGATACCCAATGAAAGGCCCCCAGCCGCTACTCACACGCCTCGGGGACAATACTACAAAAGCCTAAATACTACTTAACCCAGATACAGCCAAATGAACTCCCACATTACCAACATGACCTTTTATTGGGAAGGGACACCCATACCTACGATGGGCCCAACCCATAATTCCTCAACTTGTCACTCCACCACCGCCTTCAAAGACCCATCGACCCCTGCCGGCTGCCATGACAAACGAACAAACACTTCGGGACACAACAGCTGTCCTGAACCCTGAACAAACGCCATGTACCCACATAAAACAAACACCACGAACAACCCACCAAACAGCAAAACAACACCGGAACAAACACAATGACAAAACTATAACCAACACAACAAACAGAATACAAACCAACTTCAGGGCGGGAGGGCGGGAGAAACCACCTCCGTCATGGCACAAAGCTCCGACTGACTCCGACAAGACCCAACCCCCCATTTCAAATCCTGCAAGACCACCCACAATGCTGCGTACACCAATCAAGTAAGTAACCACCCCCCATCCCCCTTTTTCCTTGCCTATACTCTACCCAAATTACACTCTCCACCTCGTCTGCATGCCCCAGTCATGCTGGCCCTCCCTTATAACTTCGCTCAGTCCAGGCCTTGACTTGAAAACTTCTAACTTCAGTTTGTTCAATTAAGCTTTGACAATAAAACCTGGAAGCTGATTGGTTTCTATGCAGATTTGCACCAGATTTTGCACTCTCCAATTTTAGTAAATATTCCCTATATTCTAGTTGCTGGTTGACAACGCTATACTATTGCCTGGAAATTAGCAGCAGCATTGTCAGTCTGCTATGTAAACATATTTAGTTAGAGTGCCTATCTGATAGACTTGACAAGCAGCTCAAAAGCCAATAGATAAGTACATTTCATTTAGTTACAATTAGTTTTTGAGACAAAAATGCCATTTTCAGTAAATCAGATGCATACGAATCTCTGAATGGAAATAGTAACAAATATCAATTAATCTGAAAAAAAACTAAAACGAAATTCATGAATACATTTTCATTTTCGTGAAGTAACATGATGCGATAATAGTTCGGGCCCATGGGGAAATGAATGAAATTTTTGAATTTGTTAGATAATTCAGATAATTCAGATTCGGACAGTGAATGGATCAGAATTTCGTTCTATTTGTTAATTCAGATGCACATGACGCCAATCGATATTGTCCTATCAGCTCATGCCATTTCCATTGGTGGATTAGACTAGCAACCAAAAATATTGAATCCTTCTGAATAGTTTAGATAAAATATCGATAAAATATCAATATTGATAAAATATCGAATATAAAGCAATCTTCCAAGAAATAAAACTCGAATCCCCTGGACCAACGAATGTACGAAATGAATGCCGAAGATGTGAAAAGAATTCTGAATTCTGAAAATGATCCTGTTCAATATAACGAATAGGACATAATGAAATTCTCCAATGAATGAATTGAAACAAAAATCTCCAGTGTGCACATGTCTAACAGCCAACTGAAAGAGCCCGTATGGCAGACTGACAGCACTGCTGCTAATTGTCAGGCAGCGGTTGAGCATTGGTGCAGGTAGTCAATTTGGTTTCATCTGTTCTTTGAGCTGGTAAACGGCAACTTTAACCTCCCCTAAAAGATCACTTACTTGTTGTAGAGAGTACAGTGGGTCTTCCTAACCCTACCCCTTTCTAGAGGGCATGCCTCCTGACCATTTTTGTTAATGGATGATCACCTTCTGAAGAACCTTATGGTTTTCAGTGTGTCAGACCAAGGTCTAGATATTTGGCAGGCTTAGTAAAATACAGAAAAATCTGAGAAGGGCCTGTTTGTCTTCCAACTCTACCTCCTTCCAAAGTGTAGGTCTCCTGCCTATTCATGTTAATGGGTGATCATCCAAGTGAAGGACCATTGTTTGTCCAGCCTGAAAGGGGCTCACAGGACTGACAGTATTTTCTCACCAATTGTACTTTACATATGGTCAGTATGTAAATAGCAGCATAAACAGTGGAAGGCATTGCAACAGAGATGCTAAGAATGCCACAGTTTACATAACTTCTTTCCTTCCTTCATCAAGGGATTGCAGTGAGTTAACTAATCCTTGGGGCTGTGAATTTTGCCAAAACTGTTTTCCATATTCAGGATTTGGGCAGATCTCAGCATGTAAAAAAAAAAAACGTATTTATTATAGGCATTTATATAGAGCCGACAATTTGTATATATTGTGCGTTCACATCAGTCCTTGCACTCAAGGGGCGTACAATCTAAGGTCCCTGCCTCACATTCATACATACACATACTAGGGCCAGTTCAGACAGGAGCCAATTAACCTTCCAGCATGTCTTTGGAGTGTGGGAGGAAACCAGAATACCCGGATGAAACCCACACAAAGACAGGGAGAACTTGCAAACTCCAGGTAGGTAGTAGTACAATATCTTTGAACAAATTTACAGCATCTAAAATTGGAGTTGAACAAACGAGAGATTTTGAAAAGCTGACCTAATGTCACTCTGTCATCTATGTCTCTGTAGGCAAATACAGTCCTCACCACCGGGGCTGGAATTCCCATCGGTGACAAGCTTAACGTCCTTACGGCCGGCCCTCGGGGCCACTATTGATGCAGGATGTGGTGTTCACAGATGAGATGGCACATTTTGGCCGGGAGAGGATCCCTGAGAGAGTGGTACATGCTAAAGGAGCAGGTGAGATATTGTACCATAAACCCTAAAATCAGCAGTCCTATCCAGTTGTCTGGATTGGAGAGGGGGCATGAATCTGTATACACAAAGATGCTTGTGTTCTACTATTATACATATGTATATGATAGCTATGGGTACACCTCATATCCAACCCCAAGAAGAAGAGAAGAGGGGCAATTTGGACGGTGTAACAGTAGCTAGCTATATGGGGGATACTACCTACTACTTTTGTCCTAAGACTGGAAGAGTAGCTTCTTGGAGATATGTAGTCTGGTTCAGGGGCGGACTTGACAACTCGTGGGGCCCCCGTGGGCAATAGGGGATCATGGGGCCCCTGTGTCCTCGCCCACACCCAAAAAAGCCTATGAAAAAGCCAATAAAAGGTACCAGGGGGCATCTCATGGGGCCCCCTACTGACCCTGAGGGTAGCGGATGGGAGTTGTACGGGCCCTCGGGCAGTGCCCGAGTGCTCAAATGGTCAGTAGCCCCTGGTCTAGTTATTTCCAATATAAATTGCAAAACGTAGTAGACTAGTGGGTGACCTGGGACATATAGAAGTAACAGTCTTAAAGGGTAAAGATTTTTTTCGGAGGGGGGTCATTTTTGTCACTGTAATTCTTCCTTGTCTCAATATCTGATCACACTTCCATGAATCTAGTGTTACTTTAGTTTGCCTCAGTAAGTCCTCATTTAGACTTGCGGTTGGAGGGTGGCAAAAATGTGTGGTTGAGACGCCTTTTTGCCACCTGCTAACTGCTCCCCCCTTAAGCTGCAATAGGCAGCGGATGGGAATGTTTACATGCTGCGGCCCACGATGCTTCACTTCACAGCTGTGGAAAAGTTGACCTGACATGTATCGCTCGGTAGGCAGCAAGTCCGTCGAACGCTACACATGGAAGTTAGTGGGGAAGTGGTGCATGGTGGTTGCATTGCCTTTCTCACTGCCTGTCAGTAGCTTCTTTAGCATGATTCAAATGCGAATCGGTCTTTAAGGGGAAGGAAGATTTAGACGCACATCTAAATCTACCCTAAGGTATAGATGATGCGATTTTCTTTCCTGTAACCACAGGTTGAAGGAAAGAAAATCTCTAAATGACCGTGTTGATGGGGGAATCATTCAGAGGAGGAGCTATTGTGTTCTTCCGACGGGAAGTCGTCCCTGCTTGGAGAACACATTATTGCCCCTCGCAATAATCACATGTAAAAATCAGACATGCTGGGGCTGTACCCAAGTCAATTGATGAATCGACATGGGTACAAACAGCCTGCACATAGATGGTTCAAATCAGGGGCGGACTGACCCATTCGAGAACTCGGGCACTGCCCGAGGGCCCGGGGCCAGTAGGGGGACCCATGAAATTCCCCCTGGTACCTATTATAGGCTTTTTTTGAGTGTGGGCAAGGACACAGGGGCCCCATGATCCCCTATTGCCCGCGGGCCCCATGAGTTGTCAGTCTGCCCCTGGTTCAAATCTCAGCAGGTCCCTGCTGAACTGGCTGAGATTCGAACCACCTATGGCCGGTTTAGGACTGGGATATTTGCAGAGTACATTGTTTCATAACATCCCCAGATGTTCTATGCTTTAAGTCTACTACTGGTATGGGAATACTAATGGTCTCAAATTTAGCAAGTTAGTTAAATTAGGCAGGGGTTTAATGAGAAAGAGAGTGGTGTCATCCACCAAAATATGTAGTTTACATTTATATCTAGTTTTGTATGGGTGCCTTATGTTGGAGTTTTGCCAGATAGCTATGGCTAGAGGTTTATGAGCAAGGGCAAAAAGGATGGGAAACATTGAACATCTTTGTAATGTCTCTCTTTGGATTGCATTTTGGCATATTTAACTTTAACGTTTTTACAGGATTGTGTTTTTTTCCATCCTAAAACCATAGCTCATGAGCGTCTTCTGTGGCTCATAGACAGTCATAGGTATAAATTATTTGCTCAAAATTCCTGCCAAAGGATGAAGATAATCTAATTCAACAGTGCTTAGCATGCCACCCTCCTTTACCTTACGTGTAGCCCATTGCTTGACGTTTTTTTTTTTTGGTGATAGCTCAAATTCCCAGTGTTGTAGAAAAATGTGATCATTTCCAGAAACTACATAGCATATACGGGGCCCTCTAATCTAGAAGGTTGGTCACAATTAGAATGCCTGGTTAGTCCTCACATAGCCACAGCAGGGTCAAATCTTGAAGAATTCTCATTGGGAACAAGCCTGCTAAATGGAAATAACTCACATGTGTAAGATAAGAGAGAATCTGTTATATCTGAATTCCCCTGAGTACGCAATACCTAGTGTGCTGTGTGCTCAGGTGCAGAACAATACATGATTGTGCCACCCTGTGCTTGTTGAGTCCAGACTGGCACCATGCAATATCTCTGTCATTCTGTTTAACCTCTTCCTAGAGCAGTGGTTCTCAACCTTCCTAATGCCGTGACCCTTTAATACAGTTCCTCATGTTGTGGTGACCCCCAACCATAAAATTATTTACCCAGTAATTATAATTCATGAGTGTCGTTTTACCTCCAATACTGCTGCTTTCAACACAGTGCTGCTTTCAACACAGTAGCTGCTTTTAACAGAGTAGCTGCTTTCAACACAGCAGCAGTAGCTGCACTTTACACGTCGGAAATATGTGTTTTCTGATGGTCTTAGGGGACCCCTGTGAAAGGGTCGTTCGACCCCCAAAGGGGTCGCGACCCACAGGTTGAGAACCACTGTCCTAGAGTGTGAGAAAGATAGCAGGTAATCCTAATCATAATAGATAGAGAAGTTAGATGTTACTGTAGTGGGAAGGGATTGAGTTCAATATAAGACGTAACAGTTCACTAAAACTGGAAAAAATGTGCACAAAATTGAAGTTTGGTAAGATAAACAATTGGGTTTCCTTTTATTTTATGGTAAAACAACAAAACAAGAATTCCTATTGGTCACAGTGGGGTAGATTTACTAAAGCTGGTTCACTCAGAATCTGTTACACCTGTCAATGGCAGCCAATCAGCTTCTAACCTCAGTTTGTTCAATTAAGCTTTGGCAATAAAACCTGGAAGCTGATTGGTTTCTATGCAGAAATTCCCCTAGTTTTGCACCCCCCAGCTTTAGTAAATAAACCCCAGTAGGCAACAAGTCTGTATTGTAATCATTTTCCTTTTTTAATAAATCAGCCTCTTTTTGTAAACTAGGAATGAGCAAACTAGGCAAAATTTAATTTACGGTGAGATTATGGTGATTCACCTGCAAAATGTCGTCAACACAGAAACTCTATATTCTGCTTAGATAAAATATGCTTCAAAAAGGCTATTTTTCTTTCTTTAGAGGTTTTTTGTGAGTTTTTTTTTTATTTAGTTTTTTTTTTATTTAGTTTTTTTTTTGTATTTAGGTTTTTTTTAATTTTGTATCTTTGATTGCTACCTATGTAGTGTTGCTTTAGTATATTTTTTTTTTTACTTTTTTCAGTTGCCTGTTTTTGATTTTGTAAAAAAAAGTGAAATAATAATGTAGCTAACGGGTGGCCATTTTATATCACAAGAACAGGTCCATGATAATTCAGAGGAGCTTCTGTAAGCCCCAGGAGCCTTTTAAAAGCCTTTAATTCTTAAAAAAAAAAATTTAAAGTGTACCTAAACCCAAATACAAAAATTACTATTTGCACTTATATTGCAGCTTACAAGTCCAATTAGATGTGGTGGGGCCTTTGTTTTCGGGTCTTTTATATGAAATCTAAAGAGTGCAAAAAACTAAGTTTGGTTTCATTTTATATTTATTTGTATCAGAATTTTTGTTTTTGGCTTTAGATATACTTTTTCTTCCATATTGACTCCAATGCAATTTACATAATCTCCTGTTAAAATTAAAATATTACTTTTGCATATGCCTAGTGAGGAGTCCTATGGTTTCCTTTTATCATTGGAGGGAAGTTGTACTTCCAGGCATGATCCAACAAAAAAACCTCCAAATGAACAATTTTATACTAAAGCAAAGCAGAAAGTACAAGAGATAAGTGGCCCAATAATAATCTGTTGGTGCCAAATATAATTTTTATTGGTTTCACCACTCACCACAAATATGAGTGTCCTACTGGCAGTATTGGGGGTGGGCACATTTACTTGGGCCAATCCCCAATCAGGTCAAAACCACATAGCTGTCATCTTATGTCTATGAACTGCCTGTATTCTATGGTTTGCTTTTATTTAAGTTCTATATGGACCAAATATGACACACGTCTTACCTGTACAAATCATCAGCTATATGTAGTAGGTACTAATAAACAACTAATATCAAATTCATTTTTACAAAAACTCATATAATTTACTCTAAATTCTAAAAATCAATCCCCAAAATATCCTTAATTTGAGCCACTTACTCGTAGGTAAAATGTAATTTCAAACTACCAATAGCAATAAAATGTAATTTTATTTGTAGAATCATAAATCGTCTAAAAAAGAAGATTTATTTACACTATGGGGTTTATTTACTAAAGCTGGAGAGTGCAAAATCAGGTGCACTTCTGCATAGAAACCAATCAGCTTCCAGGTTTTATTGCAAAGCCTAATTGAAAAACCACCATGCACAACTGCACCAGATTCTATATGAACCAGCTTTAGTAAATCTCCCCCTATATGACCAAAACGTTTGAGAACATCTGACCATCACACCTCTGTGAACTTGTTGGGCATCCCATTCCATGGGTATTTGGAGTGGTCTATGGGAATTCCCCATAGGGTTGAGGTCAGGACCATTTGAGTTCCTCCACGCCAAAAAAAAAAAAAACAACCTATGACTTTTTGGACCTGGCTTTGGGCAAAGGTATAGGATACAGTCATGCTGGAACAGAGAAGCCCCCCAAATGGTTGCCATGAGATTCCACACAAATAAACTCAATCGATAATTTGGAGGGCTGTCCACATACTTTTGGTCATATAGGAAGTTGTGATATATATATATATATGGAGGGAATCTATTTTTGCATGGGGCTTTATTTTTGCTGGTGGGGAATCTATTGTTGCTGGGGGCAATTGTTGCTGGATGGATCTACTGTTGAGGTGGAAAGGTCTATTAATGCTGGCTGTCGAGAGATCTATTGTTGCTGCTGGGGGGTCCGTTGTTGCTGGGGTGGATCAATTGCTGCTGGGGGGGTATTTTGTTGTGGGGGTGTTGTTGTTGTGGGGGGAGCTCTATTGTTGTTGGGGGGATATATTGTTGCTGGGGGGGAGGGAGTCTATGTTTTCTGGCTGAAGGAGATCTATTTTACTACTTTTCTTGTTTTCATTGACACATCCCATACAAATTACTTAGCGCCACAAAATAATACTTGGTTTTGTTGTCTCTAAAAGGGGGTGGTAATGGGAGGTGGGTAGGGTGTGGAATCAAGAGACGGTGCTCGTTGGTGGGTAGGGGGCAGAGGCAGAGACAACGGGGGGACTCGGAAAGGGAGAGTACCTGTACCTATTATCTGAGAACAAAAGCCCTGTGTGTGTGTATGTATATTTATATATATATATATATATATATATATATATATATACACAAAAAATTATATATATTGATTCATGTACTTTTATGTACTTGTCATCTTTCGGTTAGTGGTAATTCCTTGCTGGGTTACTGAGATAAAGAATTGGCAAGGGAACAACTGTTGTGGTTAACCAGAGTCCTTGTAGGGCATTTTCACACTCTGTATCTACATGATACTTTTATCATTTAGTATGTTGTAATATTTGAACAGGAATGAATGCTATAAAAAATGAGCTTATTTAGCCACGTTGGGTGAAATTACACAAAAAGGAAAGGTTATAGCTTAGATAAAAGTCACAACCTGCCATCCTTTAGCAGTCGGTTCCTTCCTTACTTACTAATTGATCTCGCCCTCCTATATTATGTCCCACTCTGTCTTTCTCGTTGACTGGGGTCTGGGATAGAGTACGCCATCGCAAACCATTAGCTTCTTTGCACACGCCTTTAGTGCCTGTTTTTTGTAATCCTGAATTTGTACCCGGTCTAGTTATGGCCCCATTCCAATGGTGGATCAATAATGGGTTATTATGGACAGGAGACTACTTCAAGGGCGACTGAATTTACTCTTTTCAACATTTTAAAGAGAAATTGCAGATGCCTCCTACCGATATCTTTCGATACAATCAAATCGTCTCTTTTATCCGCTCGAAAATTATGTAATTAGATGGACCACCCATTCTTACCAGTTTCGAACTTTCATGCCAGAATAAAAATTTCTCCAGAGGCCATATTTCTATGGTGTACACCCTTATTACTGATCCAAGTTGTAAACTTCCCTATATGGATCACTGGGAATGGGACCTGAATGTTAATTACAATCTATCTGATTGGCAAGACATAGACTTGGCATTATCTAAAGTTTCCATCAATACTACCTTAATTGAAGCAAATTATAAAACATTTTTGCGATGGTATTTGGTCCCAACCTGGACTGTGAAGATGCATCCATCTAGGCTCTATGTATCACGTCTGGTGGCAATGTCCGATAGCGACCAGATTTTGTCATCTGCAATGTTCGTAGATCCCCGGAGACGGCCCTCTTTCATAAATTCCCAATACGGTTCCAAAAAAATCCCTTAAATTGCTCACTTATATGAGTTGTCAGTGAGAATCACTATTGCTAGACATTGGAAGAGAAATTATTATTCAGCTTGAATATGTTAAGAATAGATTGAATTGAGTCATGATTAATGACAGACTCACCTGTATTCTACACAACAATACATTTCAGTACCTTGATATTTCCCGTTTTGACCCTCTCCTTTTCTCGTTCCTGTCTACCTCTTTTTTTTACTTTGTACTATCCCCCCTTTAATTTTCTGTTCTCTGGGGCTAGTTGAGACTACTACCTATTTGCTCTACAACGTTTGTCATGTTTTTAGCAACATTTGTTCTGTGTGATTAATGGGTTTACGAATACTGTTTTTCTCCCTTCCCCCTTTATCACGTCCCCTGACCCTCCCTTTCCATCCCTCTCTAGCCTCCCTTTCCCCCTTGCCCTACCACTACCTTCATTACCTGTATATAGTCGGACTAATCCTGGAAATGATTTACTTCAATTACCCAGTTGTTTTCATACAGATTCTCTGGTTTCCTAATGTATGTCCTCTGTTTGTTACACCATGTGTTTTTTGCACTGTTTAACATCTACTTTTATGACATTACATTTGTCTATCACACTATTTGTAATTGAAAAATCTCTCAATAAAAACTATTGGAAATAAAAGTCAAAAATGTTCATGATTTAAAAAAACAAATAATGAAAAAAATAAAAATAAAATCACAATGACACCTATTCAGGGGCGGACTGACCATTTGGAAACTCGGGCGCTGCCCGAGGGCCCTGGTCAGTAGGGGGCCCCATGAGATGCCCCTGGAACCTTTTTCATAGGCTTTTTTGAGTTTGGGCAAGGACACAGGGGCCCCATGATCCCCTATTGCCCGGGGGCCCCATGAGTTGTCAGTCCGCCACTGCACCTATTACTTATTCAGGGCTATTGACAGGATTGTATAGCGCAACTTCTCTGCCATTGCTTCTGAGTGCAATCCAGAAACATTAGTAATTGGTTAGGAAATCGAACCCATCTAATCACTTTTGTCTCCTGAAAATGCTTGGCTAGGGGTGTACTCTCAGGTTCGGAGTACTGATATGAAATTGTTTTGCAATCCATATATCCATATATGGAAGCTTCAAATTGTATGCTAAAGAGAAGAGGGAACTATATAGGGTGGAAATAGGGCTGGCAAAGTGTGTTTATATGGATTTTATTTGTTAGACTTTTTTTCATACCCTACTTTAAATATGTTTTAAAATTGACACATACGCATGTGATTTGGTTGGTATGGCCAACACAATTCTTATATCAGATCCATTAACCAAGGAAGTCCAGAGTGTTTTCTGTACTGACCCATTCTATCTTCTTCCCATGTAGGAGCCTTTGGATATTTTGAAGTCACTGATGACATTACGAAATACACCAAGGCCAAGGTGTTTGACCAAATCGGAAAGAAAACTGACATCGCTGTGAGATTCTCTACTGTAGGTGAGTGGCCGAAAATGAAAACCTACTGATACCTGTCTTGTATACTTATCTCAGCAGTACTGGGCCATTGGACAAATGCTGTAGCATGCAGGGGTATAAAAGCACTAAGGGGTATCACAGGCAGCCAACCTGCTCATTCATTTGCATGTCTACATATCAGAACCTCTCTTCTAGCAACCTACACTAGAAGCCCTCTCTCTGGTTTTGTCTATATCACACTGAGTTGTTTGTCTGACACAAAGGCCTATAAGTTCTCTATTGTTCATTTTCTTATACTATGTTATTTCTTAGTAAAATGTGTACAAGAGGTCTTCATACTCCAGCTAGACACACAATACTGCTCCAGCTCTGCTCTACTTTGTTTATGACAGGGTGTCGGCTCAAGAAAGCCCTTCTTTTCTCATCATTGGAGAAAATTTATAAACGAGAGCTGCACTCCAATCTCCACCCCGTCCATCCACAATGTAGCTGCAACCATAATGTCCTCACCCAAAGACCACCATCATCTTAATGTGTATCACCAATAAATGGCTTGATCACAAGGATAGTTAGGGGGCCATTTTTTGGTGAAACGCATTATGGAGACGTGATGCTCTTGATGCATCTTTATATTCCAAATGTTTATTTTCCCATTGCCTTTCAAACCCTTTTATTCAATATGGTTGATTTACTCAAGAAAAAAGGGCTGTTCAGTTTGCAAGGCAACCAGCACTTTGCCTCAGAACTTAGTAAATGATGTGAAGCTCTGCCGACTTCCATTATCCAATCATGTGCGAGCAAAAATGCAGTTTTTTATATATTCCTTACACACGATTGGGTATTCTTCACAAAGAAAAACTTCAGCACCAGGGGCGGACTGACCATTTGGAAACTCGAGCACTGCCCGAGGGCCCAGGGTCAGTAGGGGGCCCCATGAGATGCCCCAGGTAACTTTTTCATAGGCTTTTTTGAGTTTGGGCAAGGACACAGGGGCCCCATGATCCCCTATTGCCCGGGGGCCCCATGAGTTGTTAGTCCGCCCCTGTTCAGCACATTAGCTAAGCTCTGGGGCAAAATCACCTGCAAATTGAGCAGCCTATTTGCTTTTAGCAAATCAACCTAAATGCACCGATTTGTATAATCAACCTTTTTTCAATTCTTGAGATGCATTGTTAACCACGGTACATGTAAATGTGAACTAGTTTTGATATATCTTGATAAACAAAATCATTAAAAATAGCAGGGGGGCTATTTATAGCATAGAGGGGATGCCGCAATCCACTCTCCGTTGGACGATTCAGTATTCCTCCATGACTGGAGGAGAGGCTGGAAACATGACTTTGAAAAGTCATGTGAAAGGGTTGTCCTCTCAGTTTTTTCTTACCTCCTTTTGTTTTAATCCTCCACTTAGCACATCAGTACTGTGCTTTACAAATGTGCAGTGTGTGTTTTTTAAAGCAGTAGTGTGACCACGATAAGGCCGATGTCACACTTACAATCCTGCCACTGGTGAGAACATGCCCGTGGCAGGTTTGCAATGGATGATTCATGTAGCTAGCGAAACACTAACCTGCTTTCATGTGTCGATACCTGGTTGGCCAAATGAGCCAATCATTGACCACTCACCAGCAAGGAAAGGTTTTACAATGGTTGGTGATCACCGCATAAGATTCTGAATCTGTTATAGGGTGATAGCTCATAGTCTTTTCTTTCCACAGCTGGTGAACAGGGCTCTGCTGACACCGTCCGCGATCCTCGAGGATTTGCAGTGAAGTTCTACACAGACGAGGGTAACTGGGACCTAGTTGGCAACAATACCCCCATTTTCTTTATCAGGGATGCCATGCTGGTCAGTAAACCCTGGATAATCTTCATATCTATTCTGCACAGTGTACTGTATATTTTGAGAAAATAATTGACTTGTGTTCAAATGTTAACACACAGCTTCTAAGATGGATATAGAAAAACTAACAAAAGGGCTAGGAAAAATGCAGCTTCAGGCTCCTTCCATACCTGTCAATGTAACCATGGGCCTAGGCATTTGGTCATTTGATCTCTATTGAAGGGAAGAAACATTGTTTAGACTGGCTGACCTTCTCCTTCAGCAAAGATCATTTCAGACAATTCCTAGGTATTAGGTCATGTGGCTAGCATTGAAAGAAGCCTGGAGCAGCATTTTCTCCAGGGCAGGAAAGGATCTCAGCAGTTCTGTTAGTTTCGATCCACCCAGGACAATGGCCATAGCTTTATATATACTTTTGAGTATAGGGTCACTTTTATTGAATAGCTGAGTTTATACTGTATATACAAGAATGAATAGGTGCCCATTTAGAAATACACCAGATGTGTGCGTCATTGCTGCAGAGACCATTAGCCAAAGGATTCCTAAACCAATAAACCCAACTCCAGACAAAACTTTTTCTTTGACGACAGTGGGGAAGGATAATTTTTGGTGCTATGACTTCATTTCACTTTGTATCCATGTGACACCAGGACAAGAGGTAAGGGATTTGGGTGGGTCACCATAACTGTAAGTCAGAGATGGCAACACAAAACCTTCACAGGGTTACAAATCTTTCCTTACATGGGTTAGATAAAAATATTGAAACACTGCATGATTTGCAGGTGTGAAAGTGATGACATTTCCCGTTGAAAGTGGACGTGATGTAACACTCTTTTGCTTCTGCTGTCTGATGAGACACCTAGCTAAGAGGTGGGAAGCCTCACTTTTGTCATTCACTGCATGCGCTGCTAGTAATACGGAGTCATGTCAGAGCTTACTGAGTTTTCAAAGAGGGCAAATTGTTGGTGTCACTTAGCTGATGCCTCTGTGACTGAAGCTGCCAATTTATTTGCTGTGTCATGAGGTACATTATCAAAGGTTATGGTGGCATATACCATTTCCGGGAAAGAATAATGAGCATAAGTGTGATCGACATGGTCAACTGACTCTAAAAGACAAAAGGACATTGCACAAGATTGTGAGCCAGAATAAGAAAACAACTGCTGCAAAAGTGACTGCAGAACTCAATCTTAGACTTCCAAAACCCGTGTCCACAAACACTGTGTGGAGGGAACTCCATAAGTATAACCATCATGAGCGAGCTGCAATTGCCAAACTACTAGTGACCGATATTAATGCTCAGAAGAGGAGAGAGTGGTGCAACACCCATAAATTGTAGACTATCAATCAATGGAAGACTGTAATATGGTCCAATGAATGGAGCTTCACACTGTTCCCAGCGTGTGTTTACATGTGGCAAACACCGTCCCAAGCTCACAACCAGGACTGTCTTATGCTGACGGTAAAGTATGGTGACGGTGCAATCATGGTTTGGGCATCCATATCTTAGTATTCTGCAAGCCCCATCATCACCTTGAAATGTAGAGTCACTGCCAGCGACTCTGTACAATGTTTGGCTGACCTTGTGCACCCCATGGTGCAGACATTGTTTCCCAAAGACAGCGTCATTTATCAAGATGATAATGCTCTGATTCACACAGCTGCTGTTATCAAATCGTGGTTTGATGAGCATGCAGATGTAGTCTCCGGACCTCAAAATCATAGAGCCACTACGGTCAATTTTGGAGAACAAAACTCAGACTCATTTTCTGCCTCTGACATCTCGGTGAGGACCGGAACGATTTTTGCATGAAGAGTGGTATCAGATAGATTCCATTATCCACCATTCAAAACTTATATTTCTCAATTCCCAGGAGAATTCAGGCCGTCTTGGATGCCATAGGCAGTCTAACACCATATTAAGTAACAATTTTGTTCTTTTACCTGGTGTTTCTATAATTTTGCCCTTTGAGGGTGGGAGGGACTGTTGCTATTGGGAGTAGAAAATGTCTCAGACTTGGTGGTTAGAAGGAGTAAAAAAAAATTAATAGCACTTGTGGTTAGTAAGTGAAGGAATGGTGCCCCATCATTGGTGCAAGGGGGAAATAGTGCCCCATCATTGGTGCAAGGGGGAAATAGTGCCCAATCATTGGTGTCTGTGGAAGCAATAGCGCCCCATCAGTTTGGGGAATAGTGTCCATTGGTGTGCATGGAAGCAATACCACCCTATTGTTAGTGTCAGTGGGAGGAATAGTGCCTCTTCATTTATATCAGTGAGAAGATTGGTGCCTCATCCTTGGTGTCAGTGGAAGAAAAAGTGCCCTATTTTTGGTGTCAGTGGAAGAAATAGTGCTCCACTTCAGTGTCAGTGGAAGGAATGGTGCTTCTTCGTTGTTAAAGGCAAGCAAAGGGCTGCAGTTTGGAGATCTCTGCTTTAAAGGAAAATTGTGCCAATAGAAATACGAGGGCTGCCATAGTTTAAAAATACTAGTTACCTGATTGTCTTTGAATTAGTACTTTCCCAGATTTTGACCAGAAAAAAGCATGCAGTAAGTTAAATCAAATCCTCTGTATACACAGTTGAATGACTCAGCATAATAGCCAGGTTACTAGTATTTACTAAAGGAAATGTCAGCAAATAAAGCACCTCCTCATTTAGCTTACAAAGGGGGGACAGTACATTAAAGTTTTCTTAAGAAAAAAGGGGATGCTGGTATTATGCATGAAACACTCATATGCATAAGAGAGAAATCCCACATAGATAGCAATTATAGTGACATGGAGCAGAAGTCCACACTGAGCAGAGGTGGGAAGAGTAACCAATCTCTGGTCAACCCTTTTGTGGCCAGCGGTGGGGAGCCAGGTGGGAAAAGTGGACATTCAACTAGATGCTGAGATATAATGATTGGTACATGATGAGCCCTGTTGTGTTGACTTTTTTGGTGTAATAATGGATCCTCTCCTTTGCAGTTTCCATCCTTCATTCACAGTCAGAAGAGGAACCCACAAACCAATCTGAAAGACCCCGATATGGCATGGGACTTCTGGAGCCTTCGTCCTGAGTCTCTGCACCAGGTAAGTGAAGCATCGTACACCCTGTCCATTGCACATGCTAAACTGAAATCTGTACTTTTATTTTAGCGCAATAGAGGTTAATAGACAATCTAATTATTACAAGAGATGCTCCCATTTCAAGCGCTGCTTGGGATCCCTGGGGCTATCTGGGGGGTATTGAAGGTGCTGGCTATCTCTCATCATGGCTGCATCTCTGCATAGCCAACATAGCCTATGGCCTAGGGTCACACATTTCAGGTTGCAGAATGTCAGTAATAGATTTTCCTATATAATAAAAGGTTTTCTGACTGCCAGTGTAATGTTGCATGCTAAGGGTAGTTTAGAATGACAAGCTAACATTTCCATCTCAAGATCTCGTTCCTGGTGTATGGTGGGGAGAAAAATACATTGGGCGCCAGTCACTTTAATCTTTTTACCATTTATTGTTGATCCCTATTCTAAGAGAGAGGGTTTAGGGGTGTGGGATACCAAAAAGTGCACAAAATCAGGACATACACTCACCGACCACTTTATTAGGTACACCTGTTCAATTACTTGTTAACACAAATTGCTAATCTGCCAATCACATGGCAGCATTTAAGCCTGTAGACGTGTTGAAGATGACTTGCTGAAGTTCTAACAGAGCATCAGCATGGGGAAGAAAAGGGATTCAAGTGACTTTGAACATGGCATAGTTGTTGGAGTCAGACGGGCTGGTCTGAGTATTTCAAAAACTGCTGATCTACTGGATTTTCACGCACAACCATCTCTAGGGTTTATCGAGAATGGTCCAAAAAAGAGAAAATATCCATTGAGCGGCAGTTGTGTAGAGAAAATGCCTTGTTGATGTCAGAGGTCAGAGGAGAATGGTTTTCCTGGTTCTCGACTGGTTCAGGATGATAGAAAGGCAACAGTAACTCATGTCAATATAGACCGAAATCTCTGAGGAATATTTCCAACACCTTGTTAAATCTATGCCACGAAGAATTAAGGCAGTTCTGTAGGCAAAAGGGGGTCCAATCTGGTACTAGCGAGGTGTACCTATTAAAGTGGTCGGTGAGTGTATAGTTTGATAGAAGTAATAGTAGGCCTCTTAGTAATTGCTGACCTTGTGAGACCAGTCACAGTCCTTCTTAAACTGCAGTGGATCTGTCTCTAATAATTTCAGCTCTTGATCATCTGATAGCACTGAAAGATACATTGATCTGTGAGCAATGAATCCTTCTTGCGATGTCCAGTAGTAGCTTCCTAGCTCCTCCGTGAGGCTCTTCAGCAAGATTCAAGATTCGTTACAGATGCTCCTTCCAGGCAGACACCCTTTATCCCAACTCCCTCTAGAATAGATAGACACTCCAGCAAGCAGCCGAAAGTTCTTGGGCCTCCAGCACATACCTCAGGCTAAGGCAAGGCCAAAAAGAGAGAATACTCTATGCAAGCATCCTTTCCAGGAGACACAGAACACTCAGGAGTGGTCCCCCAAATGTATCATCTTCCCAAACCATACCTGTGCACAAGAACCTCAAGCATTGGTTTGGTCAGATACATATTCATAACTCAGTGATTGTGCTTCCCACTGTGATTACTGGAACCTCCTTCACATGAACAGGCAGAAACAATCAAGAAGGAGGAATAATGAAAACCAGCTGAACCTAAAAAATAAAAAGAACAAAGCTCAGGCTGCTTAAGGCCTAGCAAGAACACACTAAATTTAGTTAGGGACACAACAGCATAGAGCAGGGTTCCTACAGTAATCTGCTAGATCCTTTCTCAACCTCTTTACCACAGAGCAACCCTTAAATAACTTTCTCAGCTCATAGAAGGGAATATCATAGCTGGTGGGTTTTCTGACTGAAAGTGAATTTGGGGGGTAGGTGAGGTTTTGCAGTGACAGGGAGGACATACTGCTTCATCTAGTTACTCATGTTCACACTCTGTTGCTTATTACCATAGGCATGCAACACAGGGTGTGCCAGATGTGCCTGGGCACACCCTAATCACCCCATGCGGTGCAGATTCCCCCTGCTGCCCCCTTGCTGTTTACTATGCTTCAGTTTGTGAATGAACAGGAAGCTGCTTAGCACAGAGCACTTCCCATTCATTCACTGTCCAGTAAAGATGAGGATGCAGAGAAAGAGACTGGGGAATATCTGTCCCTAGTTCCTTTCTCTGTCTCAAAAGTGAGACATCAGGGGTCTGTTTAGACTCCCTATGTTTCATGTCCACTGCCCTACTGACACTGACCTAGCTTTAATACATTTTAAAATGTTTGTTTGCATTTATTTATGTCTGTGTGTATGTATATGTGTGTGTATATATATATATGTGTGTGTGTGTGTGTGTGTGTGTGTGTGTGTATATATATATATATATATATATATATATATATATACACACAGACACACACACGAATGTGTGTTTGCGCTTTGGGGTGCACACCCTGATGCAATAGGCTGCACACACCTATGCTTATTACTGACCCCTACACTCTACCTGATATACTACTGAACTCTGCATAACCTATTACTAACCCCTGCACTCTGCATTATTACTACTGACCCATACGATCTGCATTACTGCAATTACTTGAACTGATCCCCTGTATGGTTCTCTCTGTAGCAGCTGAAAGCTGGCGTCTTCTCCTCTCCCTCTCGCAGGCTTTCAGCTGTTGTAGAGACAGCCATACAGGGGATCGGTTCCAGTAATTGCCCCCCATCACACCCATCAACCTCCCTGTGCACCATCTGTTTCCCCAAGCTGCCCAGGCCCCCCTGTGTGCCCCCACCCCCGCAGTGCTGCCGGCTTCCCTCCTCTCTTTCCCACCGGCAGCTGCAAGCACACAATAGGATCCTTCAGGATGGGGAGTGGGGGAAGGGTCTAGTAAATATGTCATTTACCAGCCCCTTCCTTTCCTGAATGAACAAAGTGAGTGATCGGGATCTATCGCTCACTGTGTTCTTGCATAACTGAAGAATAGTAAAACGTGTTTTTTTTGGGGGGAGGGGGCTTTCAAGTTGGCTGTATGGGGCCCCGTGGTTTCTAACAGCAGCTCTGATTGTAGTTTTATACATACTATATTAAATCTAATTTTAGAGTACCTGTCATGCTGCACTGACCACCCTATGGCTTGGGCTACAGCTAAATTGTGATGTGCCCACCAGCCGCCATTATGTGCTCAGCAATGGGCTCGTTGTTAACTGATAGACTGGCCATTTGAAGGGCAATAAACAGGGCTTTGAACTGCCTGCCGACAGCCCCATTTCAGTGGCAGTGTGAACGTAGCCTAAAATAAATAAATACGCCAACTGTATCACCAATGTGCCAATGAGTCAGCACTTTAGAAGGTGGCAAGAAACCAAAATCCACACCCTGCCCGTAAGATATCTTTACTTTGATATCTGTTCACATGCGTTAAGCTCGAATCGTATCTGGTTCCCAATAACATTTGTTTTTAATAATTATATGGCCATAAGATTTTAATGGCAAGTACAAAATAACAAGACTGGCATGGGTGACCTGTAAAAGGAGCAAACCTCTATCGCCTGTTTGTATGCTATAAAAGATTAAAATGACGTATGTCATTGACATGTATGTCAGAGCTAGGAGGGTATTGTAAGTAATGTGTGGGCACACTTACTAGGGAAGAAATAATTGGAAATGATTTAGGAAGAATATTTGGGAAGGGATCAGGGGCATCCCTAGGGTTGGTGTCACCCGGTGCGGTAACACTTGGTGACACCCCCTTCGACGATCCCCGCAGAATGGATCGGATCTGTGGATTGAGCATAATGGATCGGACTCGATCCATTATGCTCCCCAATCCGCAGATCCGATCCATCCTGCGGGAATCGTCAGCTTTCTTTACAACTTACCTTTTCGTGGTCCGGTGTCACCCCGTATAGGTGGCATGCTGATGATCCCCGCAGGATGGTTCGGATCTGCGGACTGAGCATAATGGATTGGCTTGACCTTTGACCCTGACCTTGACCCATGCCCAGGGGCCCCAGGTACATAGGGGGCCCAATGATAATTTTGCATTACATCATACTTGCCAACTGTCCCGGATTTGCTGGGACAGTCTTGCTTTTAACTAAGCTATCCCAGGATGGCTGCTTCCCGGAACCTTTACTGTGCCCTTCTGACCCTAATATTGTGCCCTCCCAACCCCCCCGTACCCCCCCCCCCCCCCATCCTGTACTGTGCTCTCCTGCCTCCTCCTGTACTGTGCCCTTTGTGTTGATTAATCTCTTATTTATGGCATATTTTCTTATTGTTTAAAATTGATTTTTGAAGAGCTAATAAATATATGTTTAATTCTATCAACTATTTATCCTTAAATTCTTGAGAGTAGGTGGGCAAGCTGGTAGGGGACCCAGTGCGTTACTTTTTGTTCATCCCTTGTGTTAGCAATAAAGTTAGTTAGTAAAAAATTAAAGACATAGTAGAACAAAAATTTTAGATAAAATAAAAAATAAAATAAAATGTAAGGCACTCCCGCCCCCCCCCCGTGAACGCATATGTAAGTCCCGTAGCATATGTAAACAGTGATCGTACCACAATTGTGAGGTATTGTCACAAACGTCATAGCGAGAGCAATATATCTAGCACCAGACCTCCTGTGTAACACTAAGCTGGTAGCCTGTAAAGGTGTTTAAAGCATTGCCTATGGTTTAAGTAAGCACTATAGTTTGGCGCCATTCCACAGGCGTTCACAATTTTAAAGTGCAAGTGCACAATCCAAACACACAAGTTCTTGTGTTAAAAATGGCTGTGTGTATAAGTGGGTGCTTCAGTGATGTCACCAGCATACCGAGAATCACCAATATGGGTCCAAAAGTTTTATTTAACGATTACATAGGTACAGCAAAACAACGTTTCAGAGTCTTGCAGGACCCCTTCATCAGGCATGTGACCAAATATAATTGTTCATTAAAACTTTTGGACCGATATTGGTGATCCTCGGTGTGCTGGTGACATCCTCCTTCACAATTTTAAAGTGTGACATGTTAAGTATCCATTTACTCGGCATAACATCATCTTTTATATTTCACAAAAAAGAGGGTATTATATTGTGTGCAATAAAATTCATTAAAGTGTATTTTATTCAAAAACTGCTGTGAAAATACTGTGTGACATAAAAAATGGCAACACCCACCTTGTTATTCCATAGGACGTCTGCGAAAACAAAATATTGTTTGTGGGTTCTAGGTCATTTTCTAGCGAAAAAATTTAAATTTTTACATGTATGTGAGAAGTGTCAGAACTGGCCCGGTAGGGAAGTGGTTAATATAGGCCCAGCCGCCCAAAGCGAATGGACCTCGGTGGGGGCTCATAGGAGGGAATGTGATTTCCATGTACACTGAATGACAAGGGGGAGGGGCTTCCCATAACATGCTTCCTCTTTTCCCCTCACCTGCACTATAGTTACATCCACCAGCACCTAACTTGTTCCCGCCCAGTGCCACACTGGCGAATCAGGAGGCGGCAAGGCAATATACCCACCCATATTCTGCCCTGGGGGTGGAGCTCTGCTCCTAAAAGTAAGTGGGGGGTGGGGTTACTAGAGGCAGAAACATGACTACCCCAGGCTAAAAGGGTTCCTAGCCGGCACCACATTGACGTCTAATTTAATCCCTCCATGTGCCTCATTAGTACCTAACTTGTGCCTCCTAGCACCCCTTCTCGCTTCTCTATCACTATAGGTGACAAACCCCTCCCATTACCTCTACAACCGGAGCACCGCTCCTAAAATTGAATATGGGCGGACATTCCTTGCTGCTTTCTGATTCGCTAAAAGTCCTTTGGGGCGGTGCTCTAGTTCTAAAGGTGGTGGGCGGGGTTGTCGGCTTCAGTGAGAGAAGCAGGATGGGGCACTATAGGGAGAAAATAGGCGCTAATGGGGCGAAGGGTGGGCAGACGTTAGGCGCTAATGGGGCGCAAGATTTGCTCTCTCTCTCTCACCCACCTCTCTCTCACCCACCTCTCTCTCTCTCAACCCCTCTCTTACCCTCCCTCTCTTTCTCTCACCCCATTCTCTCTCTCACCCCCCCCTTTCTACCACCCCCTCTTTCTCTACCACCCCCTCTTTCTTTCTCTTTACCATCCCCCCTTGCTCCCTTTCTACCATTCCCTCTCTCTCACCCTCTTTACTGCCCTGGGTGACATCTCTATTCATTTAGGCAGTGCTTAGGTTTCCCGTGTCACCTGCCTTCTCATTTAGGACCTGTCTTCTGAACATTTAGGACACATTTACAATAACAGGAATATTACATGCTGCGCTGTGTTGCCATTTGTTTTGCCGCAAAGCAACACAAATCCTTACACAGTGTGCTGCAATATTCCATAGTGCATTAGAAATTTTGAGTCACATCCAATTTTTGGGATGTTTTGGTGCGCTGGCAGCCAATTGCTTTCATGGGCTGCCTTAATACAATGCACATTAAGAGGCAATAATATGCCTTGCAAGAATATAAAAGGGCCTTTAAATCTTGATATTGATTACATTGCTCAGTTCCTCTCTGTACTTACTAAACACCCCCCTTCGCTCCCAGTGCCTGAAAGCATGTTGGACTGTCAGAGGTTTGCAGTGCATAGAGCCTGATCGATTGGTGTTAGTTCTTCTTCAGGCTAAGGAGGAACAGCTTTGTCACCCTACAGAACACCTCCTCCTTCACTCAGCTGGCAATATTTCTAGTAGGATACACAGGTCTTTTTATCAGGATAACAGAGACAGGGCAGGCCTGCAGAAACCTCCCCCTCTCCTCTTCTTCATAACATAGATGGGCTGGGTTCTGTAGTCCTCAGAGAGAACTGGAACAATGTAACTGAAAACAGTGCAACACAGGCAGAGTTATCAGCTAACAAGATTTCTGGCACAATGTACAGGTAATTTTTGCACTCATCGAAGAGATGTCACAAAATACTTTCAGTGGTATATTTAACAAACTGAAGGGAACCTAAAAGAAGCTCATTGTTAAGCTGGGTACACGCGCATAGGTTTTTTTTTTCTTCGTTCAGCTCTGTTGAGTCAGGGCTGAACACAAAAAAGAAAAAAAATGAAAGGATTCCCCCATCCTCTGCTGTCAATACTCTGATCAGGTTTTACAGAAGTCCCATTTATCAGAAGCTGATCTACCAATTGATTCTGCAGAACAGCGAGGGTCACACGCAGGGGCGGACTGACCATTTGGAAACTTGGACACTGCCCGAAGGCCCGGGGTCAGTAGGGGGCCCAATGAGATGCCCCTGGTACCTTTTTCATAGGCTTTTTTGAGTTTGGGCAAGGACACAGGGGCCCCATGATCCCCTATTGCCCAGGGGCCCCATGAGTTGTCAGTCTGCCCCTGGTCACACATAAATCAAAGTTTGGCCGGTCCCTTTCAATCTGTGTGTACCCAGCTTTAGGGTTTACATACACTTTAGGTAGGACATCAGCAATGGCAATCAAGATATTTCTCCAGCACAAGATTCTTTTAATGAATATAAAACTAGACAGTGGTAGTAAGTGTTATTGTTGTTGTTGTCAGGTGTCGTTTCTGTTCAGTGACCGAGGTATTCCAGATGGATTCCGGTTCATGAATGGATATGGATCTCACACCTTCAAGCTTGTGAATGCACAAGGGGAGGCCGTGTACTGCAAATTCCACTACAAGGTGAGTGTGACATTATGGAATTGGATGTATAGTTTGTTATGGTAATATGTGAGCTTTGGGTATCACAAGCATCCCACAACTGTTCCAACCACAAGAATGCCCTGGGTTTATGGCTGTGTAGTAAACAACAGAAACTTGGTAGCAGTTACTATAAGGACCCGTGGTCCTATCTTGTCAACATGCTACTGTCCTGACTGTTCTACAGCTCACAGAATAGGCCAAGTAAGCAGCATTTTCTACGAGTCTTTCTAGGCCACCACTACTTTCTATGTGTTAGTACATACATAGGCATACCACTCGTCTAGGAATGGTGACTGGCCACCCACTGATGGCTACCCAGGGGCCTCCCACTGATGGGAACCCAATGATGGCTACCCAGTGGCCTCCCACTGATGGCTACCCAGTGACCTCCCACTGATGGGAACCCAATGATGGCTACTCAGTGGCCTGCCAATGAAGGCTACTCAGTGGCCTCCCAATGATGGCAACCTAATGCCCTGCCATTGATGGCCACCCAATGACAGCTACCAATGATAGCTATTTAATGACTACCCAATGGCTTCCCATTGATGGCCACCCAATGACAGCTACCCAATGATGGTTGAAACCCGTCAGAAGTGCTGGTCTTGATTGGTGGCTGAATCTGTGGATCCGGCTGGTGACATACCTTATGTTGTCTGCTAAAGTATCTGCATTGTTTTATGTTATCTTTTGCATAGTAGCAAGTTACTTTTAGCTGGCCACATTACATAATTGAACAATCTCTTCTAGATAGGCCAGCTGCATTGTAATATAGGAGGCTACGTGATTGGATATAAATTGAATAGATTGCTTGGGTAAGCCTTCTTGTATTTAGACATTATTTGCTTATTCTGGAGTTCAACTTTAAGAGGGCCTATTGACACTGAAGGTTGCTCAGCCTTGCAAGGACCTTTTTACCAGCTTCAAGCACAAATACAGCCAACCACACAAAACCAGACGCTTGGGCTCAGCCAATTACTAGCACTGTCTCAGGAGAATAGAAGTACCAGAGTTGGTTGTTATTTCAGCAATGTCAGCGCTAAAATGGTGATCACTACTAATTAATGTGTTTAATGAGAATGTTTTGAACTTTTTGCAGACTAACCAAGGTATAAAGAATCTGACAGTGGAAGAAGCAGACAAACTGGTGGTGAAGGACCCAGATTATGCCACCCGAGACCTTTTCCAGGCTATTGCCAAGAAGAGCTTCCCATCCTGGACAATGTACATCCAGGTCATGACCTTCGAGCATGCAGAGAAATGTCCTTTCAATCCCTTTGACTTGACCAAGGTAAGTGAACCTTAATATTTTGAAGCTTGAACTAATAGAAAGTGTACATGAATTGTATCCCTTTATATAGTGTTTACAGAATATGTGGCATCCTAACCATCAGTTGTTGGGAAGAGATTCACCTAGGCTCAGGGGCGGACTGACCATTTGGAAACTCGGGCACTGCCCATGGGCCTGGGGTCAGTAGGGGGCCCCATGAGATGCCCCTGGTACCTTTTTCATAGGCTTTATTGAGTTCAGGCAAGGACACAGGGGCCCCATGATCCCCTATTGCCCAGGGGCCCCATGAGTTGTCAGTCCGCCCCTGCCTAGGCTCCATTCTCACTTTTTCAACTTTGATCTGACTTTACACTCTCTGGACCTTTTCAAAGACTCTGGGACATATATATATATATATATATATATATATATATATATATATATATATATATTTATATTGTCCAGTTATCCGTTAAGGCTCCATTTTTACTTGTTCAACTTTGATCCGACTTTACACTCTCTGTAATTAAACCGCATCAAATGTCGCACTAAAGTAATTCAGGCACCTTTTCAAAACCACTGCGACTTTAATTTGCACAGATCCGAACAGGTGCATTGAAAAGAATGGGCTGCGACTTGTCATGTCCAAAGTCTCATGACAAGTCGCGGCCCATTCTTTTCAGAGGCATTGCTCACGTGACTGGACTAAAAAAAGATAAGAATACGGGTCTTTTTAAAAGAGATTAGTAAGGATAGGTAGCAAGAAGAGGGGGGTGCATTTTTAAAACTAGTTAGTGTTAGACTGGAATTCTACTTTAAGTAACACTTACAGGTCCTGTCCCCCCCCCTACAAAAAAAAAAAGGCACATGCCTGTTCAAATTCAGGTACTTATTCAGGCATTACAAATGCATAGATTCATAGATTGCATATATTACTAAATACAGATCTGCCTGACTTTAGTGTTTATTGCTGTCTTTGTCCCCATATTTTTCTGTCTGTATTCTCGTCATCTGGACAGGAGGTGAAGGGAAATCTCTCCAATGGGGACCTAGACAAGATTGAAATTCACACAGAGCATCTAAACCATTTGACCATGCACAGCTTTGTTTTGGTGCAACTTTGTGTCTCAGGTGTGGTAATTTCCATCACTTCCGGTTCTGATGCCTATCAAATAGACATGAAGCAGGGAGATTGCATCCAGGTGGAGAGAAAGTTATTTTCACTCAAAAAAAAAAAAAAAAAGAGGTTTGGCTGGATTTGGGGTTTAAACGGTGAAAATATTGATGTAAACCAAAAAAATAGCTAACAGAGGACCAAAACCATTTTTAATGTTTTATCTTCAGTACTATACAACCGATTCAGATGAGACTTCCAGATTGACGTATTCTGTTCTATATCACCAGGTCTGGCCTCACGCCAAGTACCCGCTGATCCGTGTTGGAAAGTTTGTGCTGAACCGAAACCCAGAAAACTACTTTGCTGAAGTGGAGCAGATTGCCTTTGATCCAAGCAACATGCCCCCAGGCATTGAGCCGAGCCCGGATAAAATGCTGCAGGTCAGTGGAAATGTCATGTTACAGGATTGTTCACTGAACTGGGCTCTCCAATGCTATACTGCCTAGATACACTATTGCAGGCCATAGATGGGTCGAAAATCGGCCGATTTTTCGGCCGAAAATAAAATCGGCCGATTTTCGGATCGTTAGTGGGCGATTTGGTCGGCCGTTTTTCGGGATTTTGGCCGTTTTTTTTTTTTGGTAAAGTTGGAAAAAAATCGGCTGATCGGCCGATTTTCGCGGCATTAATGGGCTAATCGGCCGATTTTTTACCGATAAAAAATCTGCGCATGAGCAGTGACCTGCAAGAGGAAGACAAAAAGAAGAAAAAGAAGAAGAGAAAGAGGATGAAGAAGAGGATGAAGAAGAGGATGAAGAAGAGGATGAAGAAGAAGAAGAGGATGAGGAAGAAGAAGAGAGGATGAGGATGAAGAAGAGGATGAGGAAGAAGAAGAGGATGAGGAAGAAGAAGAGGATGAGGATGAAGAAGAGGATGAGGAAGAAGAAGAAGAAGAGGAGGATGAGAATGAAGATGAAGAAGAAGATGAGATGAGGATGAAGAAGAAGAAGAAGAGGATGAGGATGAAGAAGAAGAAGAAGAGGATGAGGAAGAAGAAGAAGAGGATGAGGAAGAAGAAGAAGAGGATGAGGATGAAGAAGAGGAAGAAGAGGATGAGGAAGAAGAAGAAGAGAGGATGAGGATGATGATGAAGAAGAAGAAGAGGATGAGGATGATGAAGAAGAAGAGATGATGAAGAAGAAGAGGATGAGGATGAAAAAGAAGAAGAAGAAGAAGAAGATGAGAAGAAGAAGATGAGAGATGAAGAAGAAGAAGAAGAAGAAAGAAGAAGAGGATGAGGATGAAAAAAGAAGAAGAAGAAGAAGAAGAGGATGGATGAAAATAAGAGGAATTCCAGTCCAGCAAAAAGTGTCTCTGCAGAGAGCTCCGCTATTTCTTTGACAGTTCTCTGACATTTACAGCGGTTGCAACATTGTATCTATTTGTTTCCGAATAAAAACATCTGTATCCTAAATGGAAACAAATAGATACAATGTTGCAACCGCTATAAATGTCAAGGAACTGTCAGAGAACTGTCAGAAATAGCGGAGCTCTCTGCAGGGACACTTTTTGCCGGCTGTAGACGGGATGAAAATCGGCCGATTTTTTTTTTACCATTGGTGGTAACGTCGGCCACTTGAACGACCGATTGTTCGTTTTTTTAAAAGAAAAATCGGCCGATTTTCGACCCATCTATGGCCTGCATATATTGCCAAAAGTATTGGGTCAGCTCTCCAAATCATTGGATTCAGGTGTTCCAATCACTTCCATAGCCACAGGTGTATAAAATCAAGCCTCTAGGCATGCAGACTGCTTCTACAAACATTTGTGAAAGAATGGGTCGCTCTCAGGAGCTCAGTGACTCCAAGCGTGGTCCCGTGATAGGTTGTCACCTGTGTAATAAGTCCATCCGTGACATTTCCTGGCTACTAAATATTCCACAGTCAACTGTTAGTGGGATTATAATGGTGGGATTATAACAAAGTGGAATTATCTGGGAACAACAGCAACTCAGCCACCAAGTGGTAGGCCACGTAAAGTGACAGAGCGGGGTCAGCACATGATGAAGCGCACAGTGCGCAGAGATCGACAACTGTCTGCAGAGTCAATAGCTAAAGACCTCCAAACTTCGTGTGGCCTTCAGATTAGCACAACAACAGTGCATAGAGAGCTTCATGGAATGGGTTTCCATGGCCGAGCAACTGCATCCAAGCCGTACATCACCAAGTGCAATGCAAAGCGTCAGATGCCGTGGTGTAAAGCATGCCGCCACTGGACTCTAGAGCAGTGGGGACATGTTCTCTGGAGTGACAAATCACGCTTCTCTGCCTGGCAATCCGATGGACGTGTCTGGGTTTGGCAGTTGCCAGGAGAACGGTACTTGCCTGACTGCATTGTGCCAAGTGTAAAGTTTGGTGGAGGGGGGATTATGGTGTGGGGTTGTTTTTCAGGGGTTGGGCTTGGCCCCCTAGTTCCAGTGAAGGGAACTCTTAAGGCATCAGCATACCAAGACATTTTGGACAATTTCATGCTCCCAACTTTGTGGGAAGAGTTTGGGGATGGCCCCTTCCTGTTCCAACATGACTGTGCACCAGTGCACAAAGCAAGGTCCATAAAGACATGGAGGAGCCAGTTTGGGGTGGAGGAACTTGACTGGCCTGCACAGAGTCCTGACCTCAACCCCATAGAACACCTTTGCGATGAATTAGAGCGGAGGCTGCGCGTGAGGCCTTCTCGTCCGACATCAGTGCCTGACTTCACAATGTGCTTCTGGAAGAATGGTTAAACCTTCCCATAGACACCCTCCTAAACCTTGTGGGTGGCCTTCCCAGAAGAGTTGAAGCTCTTATAGCTGCAAAGGGCGGGGCCAACTCAATATTGAACCCTACGGACTAACACTGGGAGGCCATTAAAGTTCATGTGTGGGGAAAGGCAGGCGTCCCTTTACCTTTGTAAATATAATGTATATAGTTATGTCTTATCGCCATCTTGTGGCAAAATTGTGTATTACGTTTCTGGAAAACAACTTGATATATTGTTAAAGTGTTCCTAAACCCAGGACCCTGCATTCACTATATCTGGTCTCCCAGGACCCTGCATTCACTATATCTGGTCTCCCCGGACCCCGCATTCACTATATCTGGTCTCCCAGGACCCCGCATTCACTATATCTGGTCTCCCAGGACCCTGAATTCACTATATCCGGTCTCCCCGGACCCTGCATTCACTATATCTGGTCTCCCCAGGACACTGCATTCACTATATCTGGTCTCCCTGGACCCTGCATTCACTATATCTGGTCTTCCCGGACCCTACATTCACTATATCTGGTCTCTCCGGACCCTGCATTCACTGTATCTGGTCTCCCAGGGCCCTGCATTTACTATATCTGGTCACCCCGGACCCAGCATTCACTATATCTTGTCTCCCACAGTACACAGAACATGGAAATGCAGTTATTTTAGTAAAAATAAACTGCTAAATACATTTGATCATCAGCAGTATATAGTAATCTTGTGACTTCTATCTGAGCACTGGTTAAAGCTTGTAAGAGGAGTTTTCATTCTCCTCTCACTGTCCTATGAGGCTGCATAACTCCTGACCCTCTTTCCGGACAGTGCTGATTGGCCCTGTGCAGATGACATGCACCCTCCCAAAGAAAAAAAAAAGACTGTAATACACACTAAACTGAGCATGTGCAGAGTGACTCCTAGAGCTCTGTACTATCAGCAGATGAATTGGGGACAGTTAAAAAGGGGAAGATCAGAGAAGACAGGATCAAACAACCTTTTTACACAGTTCGGAGGATTAACCCCTTAGGTTCCACAGTGAGTATAACAAGCATGTTTTACTGCATCTACAGACTTACTTTACTGTTGTGGGTTTAGTAACACTTTAAAGTGTATTTCAAGGTGAGTTAAAAAAAATACATATTAACATATGTTGTGCCAGAAACAGTGTGCACCCAAGTACAAAAAACAAATTGTGCCTCTCCCATGAGCTATAAAGTACTTCAGCAGCATAGGTTGCAAGTCCTGCTCTTTTTCCACCCCCAATCCCCCTACTGAAGCACCCATTGTGGCTGCTTTTCATGCCCGACCCTAGCAGTGGAAGATTTCTTTCAACAGGAGAGTCATCAGTACAGCAGAAATATCCTATTAGCTGTAATTTATATCCCTTGTGCTGATTTTTAGTATATATATATATATATGATATGTTTAGTGAATATGCACAGAAATATCTATAAAACATTAAAGTGATACTAAAAGCTTATTAAAAAAAAATAGGTAATATGTACCTGCTCTGTGCAATGATATGGCTTTCCTTCTCTTCTGGCAGTCCCTCGCTGGTGCTGTTTCCTTCTCCCTCCTCCGAGTGCCTCCTGCAACAAGCTAGGTGCTGAGGAGGCACCTGTGCCTACGCACTCCAGAGCTGGGCTGTGTGCATCCATAGATGCACAGCGTTGGTAAGATCCCCCCTTCCCCCGCTCCCTCCTTACAAGAGTTTGATTGACAGCAGAAGGAACCCTGCTGCCCTCAGTTTCTCCTGTGAAAGCAGGAAGTGAGGGGGAGTGGTGCTGGAGCAGAGATAGCGCTGATCACAGTTCATTTTTTACAGATTCTGCTCACTGAGGGTGATTGTAGCCATATTAGTGCATTTGCAAAAGCAGTTTTTTTTTTGCACTAAGGGCTTATTCACACTAGCTTTTGGGGGACAGTAAAACACCATGGTTGAGCAGCACTTTTATTGCCCCCTAACTGCTATCCTGTTTAGCTGCAGAGGCAATAGCCAGGGGTTCACACATGTCATAGCTGTGATGCTTTGCCTCGTGGCCTCAGCAGGAAATATACACCCTGTTTACCAGGGGCGGACTGACAACTAATGGGGTCCCTGGGCAATAGGGGATCACAGGGCCCCTGTGTCCTCGCCCACACTCAACCCACACCCAAAAAAGCCTATGATAGGTACCAGGGGCTTCTCATGGGGCCCCCTACTGACCCCGGGCCCTCGGGCAGTGCCCGAGTTCCCAAATGGTCAGTCCGCCCCTGCTGTCTACCCATTCAAATGAATGGGGCCACTCAGCAAGTGCCCCAAAACCTGGGCAATGCATGCAGTTGCAGCTTGCCAGTGCAGGGTTCAAGGGGTTAAAGCAGGCAATGAGGAGATGATGCAATGCTCTTTGATGAGCAATCCAAACACAGATCACTCTTCAGAGACCAAAGCTTGTGTGAACTAGCCGTAAGCTTTCGGGGGTCTACCATATTTTCCTTAGTCCAAGCAGTACAAAATGACTGAGGAAGAATTGTACATCTGGTCTCATAGCCTCAAACCATCAGGGTCAAATGTAACATGTAAACAACTGCTGAATTATGTTGGTTGTATGGGGCATCACAAACAGTTTTAATTTCAAGAAGTTTGGTAAATGTGGCCCTTTGAAATTCTGAGTGTTCTATATCAGTCAGCTTTCTCATTTATAATACTTTTATTTCTTCTGTTTAGAATTTTCATTGTCAAAGCCTAAACATTATTTTATGGTTTGCAGGGTCGTCTGTTCTCCTACCCGGACACACACCGGTACCGCTTGGGGCCAAATTATTTGCACATTCCAGTGAACAGTCCTCGGGCAGCCAATGCCTGTCACTATCAGAGGGACGGTCCGATGTGCATGTTCGCTCATCCAAGTAAGAGCACTTTATCTGTGTGTGAGTGGATTGTGTGTGATAAGTTGTATTGGTTGTTCAGTAAACCTAAATGCTAAACTTTTTTTATTTTGGATAAGAAAGGGTTGTAATCCCTGTCTTTTTTTTTTTCCGCCATCTGTGATTCATTCAAAGTCAGGGAATCCTTAGTTGTCACCAGAACTATTATCCCCATTGGAAAATTACTCTATTATTCATTTACAGGGGGCAAAGACAGTAATAAAAACTTGACAGATGTTCTAATCCCTCTCCACCCTATCCAAACCAAAAAAAAGGGTTTGCCTTTAATTATACTCTAAGAAGTCTACAGATGGGGATGTGCGTACGTCATCTGAACAACGTTTGAGCTCTGCTGCGTCCATATCAAACTGGTAAAATATATCTATAACCAAAACCTTTTTTTCTAGATTTGAAGAGGGTAGGGAAGGGTTAAATCCATGGCACAGTTTGTTTTTTTGCTTTGTGTGTCTTCTTGGGGAGATTTGCCTTCACTTCCTGTCCCACAGACTCAGTTGGAAGTAAGTGGAGATCTCTGTAAAGTGAAGGGAAACCCCCCTCATAGACAGTTATTACTGTTGGTTTGAACAGAGTGGGGAAGGGTGAAAACCTCTGCCGGGTTTTTTTTTGTCTGTGTCTCTTTTGGGAAGATTTTTTCGTAATTTCCTGTCCCGGTGACAAAGTTACGCATCCACTAAGAGGAAGACACTCCTGGTGATTGGAGGAGCGTACTTGGGGGTAGAGATGCAGCAGAGGGCGCAGGCCAGACCACTCTAGAATGTTCCAGAGATTGTGGGGCTGATATACTAAAACTGGAGTGTATAAAATCTGGTGCAGCTGTGTATGGTAACCAATCAGCTTCTAACTTCAGCTTGTTCAGTTAAGCTTTGATAAAAAAAATGGAAGCTGATTGGTTTCTATGCAGAGCTGCACCAGATTTTGCACTCTTCAGTTTTAGTAAGTCAACACAATGGGGTTGATTTACTAAAACTGGAGAGTGCAAAATCTGGTGCAGCTCTGCATAGAAACCAATCAGCTTCCAGGTTTATTTGTCAAAGCTTAAATAAAGCTGAAGTTAGAAGCTGGTTGGCTACCATGTACAGCTGCACCAGATTTCACACTCTCCAGTTTTAGTAAATCAACGCCGGAGTGCCTCATGAGTCACTGGATGACACAGGCTGCTCTGGGGTGCACTGGAGTCATAGAACGCACAGGGGTAAACTGGGGTGACAAGACAATATAGAGGTAGGATGCTCTGGGGTGTGCCAGAGTCACAGGGTGTACTGTGGCTACAAGATGACAGGATGATCTGGGGCATACTGGAGCCAAAGGGTTCACTGTGGTCACAAGATAAAACTGGATGCTCTGGAGTTCTCTGGGGGTCTAAAGATGACACATGATGCTCTGAAGTTATGGGGATGCACTGGGCTCGCAAGATGGCACAGGATGCTCAGAGATACACTGGAGTCATGGGGTACACTTAGTTACAAGATGACATAGGATGCTCAGAGGTACTGGAGTCATGGGGTGCACTGGGTCACAGGATGACACAGGACTGAGGTGTACTGGAGTCATGAGGTGCACTGGGTCACAGGATGACACAGGACTGAGGTGTACTGGAGTCATGGGGTGCACTGGGTCACAGGATGATGTAGGATGCTCAGAGGTGTACTGGAGTTATGGGGTGCACTGGGTCACAGGATGATGTAGGATGCTCAGAGGTGTACTGGAGTTATGGGGTGCACTGGTACTGGATGGGGTGCACTGTCACAGGATGATGTAGGATGCTCAGAGGTGTACTGGAGTTATGGGGTGCACTGGATCACAAGATGATGTAGGATGCTCAGAGGTGTACTGGAGTCATGGGATGCACTGGGTCACAGGATGATGTAGGATGCTCAGAGGTGTACTGGAGTTATGGGGTGCACTGGGTCACAGGATGCACTGGGTCACAAGGTGTATGATGTAGGATGCACTGGTCACAGAGGATGTAGGATGCTCAGAGGTGTACTGGAGTCATGGGGTGCACTGGGTCACAGGATGATGTAGGATGCTCAGAGGTGTACTGGAGTCATGGGTGGGGTGCACTGGGTCACAGGATGATGTAGGATGCTCAGAGGTGTACTGGAGTCATGGGGTGTGCACTGGGTCACAGGATGATGTAGGATGCTCAGAGGTGTACTGGAGTCATGGGGTGCACTGGGTCACAGGATGATGTAGGATGCTCAGAGGTGTACTGGAGTCATGGGGTGCACTGGGTCACAGGATGATGTAGGATACTCAGAGGTGTACTGGAGTTATGGGGTGCACTGGGGGTCACACAGGATGATGTAGGATGCTCAGAGGTGTACTGGAGCTATGGGGTGCACTGGATCACAAGATGATGTAGGATGCTCAGAGGTGTACTGGTGTACTGGACTGTCATGGGGTCCACGGTACTGTCACAGGATGGGTCACAGGATGACACAGGACTGAGGTGTACTGGAGTCATGAGGTGCACTGGGTCACAGGATGACACAGGACTCTAAGGTGTACTGGAGTCATGGGGTGCACTGGGTCACAAGATGACATAGGATGCTCAGAGGTGTACTGGAGTCATGGAGTGCACTGGGTCACAGGATGACACAGGACTCTGAGGTGTACTGGAGTCATGAGGTGCACTGGGTCACAAGATGATGTAGGATGCTCAGAGGTGTACTGGAGTTATGGGGTGCACTGGGTCACAGGATGATGTAGGATGCTCAGAGGTGTACTGGAGTTATGGGGTGCACTGGATGTCACAGGATGATGTAGGATGCTCAGAGACTCTAAGTGTACTGGAGTCATGGGGTGCACTGGGTCACAGGATGACTGTTAGGATAGGATGCTCAGAGGTGTACTGGAGTCATGAGGTGCACTGGGTCACAGGATGATAATGTAGGATGCTCAGAGGTGTACTGGAGTTATGGGGTGCACTGGGTCACAGGATGATGTAGGATGCTCAGAGGTGTACTGGAGTTATGGGGTGCACTGGATCACAGGATGATGTAGGATGCTCAGAGGTGTACTGGAGTCATGGGGTGCACTGGGTCACAGGATGATGTAGGATGCTCAGAGGTGTACTGGAGTTATGGGGTGCACTGGGTCACAGGATGATGTAGGATGCTCAGAGGTGTACTGGAGTTATGGGGTGCACTGGATCACAAGATGATGTAGGATGCTCAGAGGTGTACTGGAGTCATGGGGTGCACTGGGTCACAGGATGATGTAGGATGCTCAGAGGTGTACTGGAGTCATGGGGTGCACTGGGGGTCACAGGATGATGTAGGATGCTCAGAGGTGTACTGGAGTTATGGGGTGCACTGGGTCACAGGATGATGTAGGATGCTCAGAGGTGTACTGGAGTCATGGGGTGCACTGGGTCACAGGATGATGTAGGATGCTCAGAGGTGTACTGGAGCTATGGGGTGCACTGGATCACAAGATGATGTAGGATGCTCACAGATTTACTGGAGTCATGGGGTGCACGGGGTCACAAGATGATATAGGACACCCAGAGGTGTACTAGAGCCATGGGGTCCACTGTGGTCGCAAGATGACACAGGATGCCGCAGAGATTGCTGGAGTTAGGATGCCTTGGGTCACACGATAACACAGGATGCTCAAAGGTAAACTGGAGTCAGGGGCTCACTGGGGGGTTATAAGATGATCCTCTAGGACAGAGTGCACTGATAAGTATTGCAGCAGGGGGTTCAGTTGCAGCATAGTGATACATTGTTCGAATGCCATGTACTCCTTTGCAGTTCACAGCAATGCCAATCAGGAGCACTATCTCCTGATTGGCTGTGGCACTTCCAGGAAAACTGTATTGGCCATGGCGCTACTGCTCTGGGAGAAAACATGGAAATGTTGGTAGTTACTGTACATGACAGGAGACCCTACGCTAAATCCCAGGAGAGGTAAGTGTGACAGTGGCAAGGATAGGAGGTGATGGGTTTTCTTTCAATTGAGACAGAGGCAGCACTAAAAGCACAATTATTTACAAGAATGGGGAAGGATAAGAACATCAGTTACCCCCGGTTCACATATCTGCGGCCGTGCGGGCCATGTTTTGCGCAGGTGCAAAAGCCCATTCATTTGAATGGACTCCCGTGCCCCAGGACACGCAGGGAAGAAGTCCTTGCACTTCTTTGGAAAACCGCAGCATGCACGGGAATGGAGGTTCCCAGTACCGTTTGTGATTTCCAGCGTGGGCGGCGTGACATTAGAATTAATGGCACCCGCCCACAGGTCCCCGCGTTGCTCTCTGCAGGTGGTGCAGCTGCAGCTATTTTTGTGCGGGTCTCACAGTCACACCACCCCACACAGATGTGAACCTAGCCTTAGGTATCATTGCAAATGCCTTTTATAGCCAGGTTCAAGTCTACTTCATTGTGAGATCTAAGAAGGAGCAGTGGCTACACAGGGGCAATAATTTAAATGTATGCACATGTACCTGGCGGTTAGGCGCATGCAGCCAGCTCAAGTCATTTCTTTCCAGCACTCCAAATCTTTTTATGCATCCAAGGTTTCAGAGGACGGCAGCATCCATCATAGACTTTTCACAAAGGAATTTTGCTTTATGAGCTTCACCCTTTAGGTGTTTGAAACGTGTTTTGTCCTGAGAGATGGAATTTGAACACAGGTCCCTCCGGTATTTTAGTTTTTTTTGTTTTGTCTAAGCTTTTATTCAGAGATTATATAATAGTCATAAGACTCTGGGTATTCAGAGCATACAGTGGAGGGCTATTTCTCAGTGTCACATGCCGTGTTATCTACGTACACAATAATATCATCTGCCTCTCACACATCCAAACCAGCTGCAAGGAACATTCCTTCCATAAAGGCGAACTACAGCTAGCAACAAAATCCCTTCTCACCCACAAATCAGTGTTTGCATTCTGAGCCATTTCAGGTGGTTGTTGAAAAATCTGTGCAGATGACTAGCCATAGAGCAAAATGGCTGTATCTATATGTAAAGCATGTCTAAACCCAAGATCAAAAATGTTATATTTACCGCTTACCAGACCTTAGATGTGATGGCTGCATTTCTTTTTTTTTTTTCAGGCTTTTTTTTCCCTTTATTTTCAGCTGGTGATCTTGCCAGTAACAAACGTTCTGTCCTAGACTGACAACGCTCACTGCCTCGGCATATTTATGGAGGAAGCCATGGTTGTCACCCCATGACAGGATTATCATACATTTTCCTCTCTTCTGCTTCATTCAAACACCAAATGTTTAGGGCCATGGTCATATTTAGGCAATGATGCGATCACTATCCCCGCTTCTTCCATTATATATACCCCCAGGAACCATACTCATCACACTTATAGTGGTTGTAAAGACTGAGGATTTTTTACTTTCGTGCATTGAAGGTAAAAAACTTTCTGTGTGCTGCTCCCCCTAATGCTCACCTGAACCCCCTCTCGATCCAGCGGTGTGCACGAGAGCCTCAGCTGTCCCTGGACTTTCTATGCTCATTGGCTGAGACAGCAGTGGCAGCCAGAAAGCCAATGAGAAAGATCATTGGGCGGGGCTGAGCCATGGCTCTATGTGACGTATAGACTCATAGAGCGGGGATCAGGAGTGAGCATGCATCAGTGCTTCCATAGCAAGTGGCTTGTGATTGGGGGCCCTGGTCAAGGGAGAGGAGCCAGGAATGCTGACAGGGGACTCGAGGAGAGGATTGGGGCTGCTCTGTGCAAAACCGTTACACAGAGCAGGTACAGTAAGTGTGACTTGTTTTTTATAAAAAAAAACCCAACAAAATAAACTTTAATGTCACTTGAAGGATCAGTGTTGTCATCAAAGGAAATCCCCAGAATTCCAATCAAATGTGTACCAAGTAGTTAATTGTGAATCGAGGATCGTATACAGTAAGTCGCCTTGATCAGTGGACCCTACAACACCCTAAAACATCACAATTCTCGAACTTATGTGGTGCTGTCTTCAAAATAAAATAGGTGATCTGCAGGTGACTTCCTATCTTTTTAGCCAGTTTTTGGCATGGAAACATCTGTTGTAATCACTACGAGCACCTACTAATTATATTACTCAAGTGCTGTTAGGTGTACAGCTCCAAACTCAGACTTTCTTAAGACTACAGAACACTTCTGCCTTTCCTCATTGTCATAACATAGAAGGAAGGTGTTCTGTAGTCCTTGGAGAGAGATAAGAACAATGTTAACTGATAACAGTCAGCAAAGGCAGAGAGCACAGAACTTAACAAGCTCATTGGGTTCTGGCAGGATCAACAAGTTTTTTTGCACAGATATAACAAAACACTTTCAATTGTATATTTCAATGGTATATATATTCAGATCAAAATGGAGGAAATAAGACACGTTCATTTTTAGGGTTTACATAAACTTTAATTTGTCAAACACCCCTGGGACAGCTATTCTCTTCTACAGCCGAGTCCATATATACTGCATGTGTGACTTTTCAGAGGGCTGCCAGGAATGCCACAGCACTCTGCCCAGCCCTAGACAGGCCACAGCAGTCACAGGTGTAGTCAATACCTTTCAGAGTTCATCAGTTCACTTTCAGCAGGGTTTGTAGTTACAGAATAAAGGACTTGGTAACACACTGGATGGGGAATAAATGGTTAACCTAATTGTAAGAAGGGTCGTTTAGGGTGCTGGAAGGACTGCAACTGCATTAGCCCTGGTTTTGCGTGGGCACGAGAGCTCATTCATTTGAATGGACTCCCATGCCCCGGCACACGCAGGGAAGGAGTCCCTGCACTTCTTCTGAAAACGCAACCCGTGCGGGAATGGAGGTTCCCAGTACGGTTGTGATTTCCAGCGCGGGCGGCGTGACATTAGAATTAATAGCACCCGACCGCGGATCCGCATTCCTCTGTGCGGGTGGTGCGGCTGCACGGATTTTTGTGCAGTTCCGCAGTGGCACCACCCGCACAGATGTGAACCTAGCCTTATAGCTCAGTGAGACCTTGAATCCATCCAAATTTGCAATTGCATTCAGATCATTTATAAGTTGAGTAAGAAGGGTGGAATAAAATGGTAAAGTGCAGATGTCTTTAAGTTTTAGAGTAGGGAAGAGTTAGATCCCCTGCTGGGTTTTACAGCTGTTGGTAGGTTTTTTGGGGGAATTTTCCAGTGACCATGCAGAAAATTAGAAAAAATCTACCCAACAGAGACACAGACATCAATAAAACATGACAGAGGTTGTAACCCTTCTTTGTGCTGTCCAAAACAAGAAAAAAAAAAAAAAGCAAGACTAGTGCTCCAATATGCCTACATGTACAGGCCAGTAAAAACTGAAAATTTAAGCTTTGAAAAGCATGCAGGGTCACAGCATATCTGCTCAGATTTAGCTATAGTACGTCAAGCTTACCACTTTAGGTTTTATTGCTTCAAAAGCACCCAGTTACTAAGCTTCTTCAAGATTTTTTCTCTGTTGGTTGAACTGGAAGGACTTATGTCTTTTTTCAACCAGATTTACTATGTATCTATGTAACTAAATCCAGAGTTCCCTCTTGTAGCAGCAGCCTTCACTGTGTACCCAAACTTGTTGACTGTGCCCACCCATGATTAGATCATTAGAAGTCAATGGGAACCAAGGCGGTGTCTCTGCCCACTCTCACCATGGCGTCATCATAACTAATACAAAGGAGCAGACATTTTATTCCTGATTCAGTCTTGTTCCACTATGACAAATCAAGCAAGAGCTATTGGCACCAACAACTCTTCAGTATTGTAATTCTTGAAATGTATAACTGCTATAATATCTCACCATTTCCATAGGTCATGTGCCAAACTATTATCCGAACAGTTTTACATCTCCTCGGGATATACCCAAGCACAAGGAGAGCACCTGCATATCTTCCGGAGATATCGATCGCCATGACAGCTCTGAAGAGGATAACGTGTCCCAGGTAATGAGGTTGGAGACGGGATCCACATTTGAGATGATCTGAGCTAATATATAAATCTGGGACACTTCTGTATCGACTACTGAAAATAAATATTTTTCTAGCCCAAACTAAAATTAAAAAAAAGGCATTAAAGTGTATGAAAGTTCTTACAGCTTGGGTTTTTGGGCTGGGGTATCAATATGAATGTATAATGGTTTGAAATAAAAGTGACAGAGGAATCCCTAAAAATTTAACAGTACGACCAATATAAATTGAAAAATGTACAGTGTTTTATTGAATGACCAAAACACAGCCCTTAAAGTGTCACTAAACTCTGGTTTAAAAAAAATTAAATTCTATTGAAGCCTTCGAGCTCTTAACTCAAAAAAGTCCCTCCTATTGCTCTCAAATCTCCAAATTCCTTTTTTTTGGTGGTATGATCCGACTTCCTGTTAAAGGTTGGCTTTAACAGTATATAGGAATGTAGCCACATCTCTTGCTAGCTCCCCAAATGGACTATAGTCACTTGCTGACCAGTCACGTACCTGGTATGTCACCAGTCTTCAAGTGGTTGTACCAGGGTGATGCCTGCACCTTGGTAATCTTTGTTAGAGCCGGTGGTCAGCTCTCTTGTAATAGCAATCAGAGCAGCTAACTAGCCCGCCGCTTTCCACCGTAATTGGCTTTGATCTGCTGTCCGCCATAGTAACCCGGAAGAGTTGACCAGAAGGCTGGCTCTGTGAATTCTGTTTCACAGCAGTGTCTACTGACAGCACTGGCCAATCAGAATGCATCTGTCCGTCCTGGAAGTGCTAACAAAAAAGGGGGAGAAAAGTGGGGATTTCAAATCTCTAGACTACAAGCAGCTGTGAGGAGTGCTGAAAGCGCAGCAACCCCAGAGGTAAGTACAGCAGGGACCTGGGGGGTTGGTGGTGTTGGGGAGGGTCTCCAGTGTTAGTTTACCTTTACAGAAAAAAATGTAAAGGTCAGCTAACACTTTAAAAACATGTAAAACCCCAGTACACCCCATAGGCACGTATCCCTGCCTGACTAGGTATATAAGTCAATGCCAAACAGCCCCAGTTGTGAATCAGATGCTGATCATCATCTGCCAGAAGACACCGGTCCCTTGTGCAGAAAATACAGTGGCCATTTTTTTTTTATGTAATGATTGAAAGCAAGCAACCATTAACAAATTGGAAACCCAAATAAATATGTGCAGTGTTTCCTTTTATGTGTGCATTAAGGCAATGCTAATAACGTTAACATCATGGAACATCATCATGAATTGACATCATGTTTGGTTTTAGGTGGGAGCTTTCTACAGAAGAACCCTGAAACCAGAGGAACGCCAGAGACTGTGCGAGAATGTTGCTGGGAGCCTAAAGGATGCTCAGCTCTTCATCCAAGAGAGAGCAGTAAGTCACATATGGACAAATTGATCAGAGAGAGAGAGAGAGAGAGAGAGTCTCCAAAGGAAACAGACACTTCTGTGCTCTCTTTAGAAGACTAGTGTCCAGGGGCGGACTAACCATTCAGAAACTCGGGCACAGCCCCAGGGCCCGAGGTCAGTAAGGGGCCCCATGAGATGCCCCTGGTACCTTTCATAGGCTTTTTTGGGTGTGGTTTGAGTGTGGACGAGCACACAGAGGCCCCATGATCCCCTATTGCCCGGGGGCCCCATGAGTTGTCAGTCCGCCCCTGCTAGTGCTAACAGAGAGTATCCCATATTTAATGTTCATTTGTGAATGAAAGGTTATATATACAGTATAACAAGAAATAAAAGAGGTAACCATTAAAGTGTTACTAAACCCCGGACCCTGCACTATATCTGGTCTCTCAGGACCCTGCATTCACTATATCTGGGCTCCCACAGTACACAGAACATGGAAATGCAATTATTTTAGCACATATATACTGCTAGATACATTTTTTCATCTTCTGGGCTCGACAAATCCCAGGCACCAGGTCTCCGTCTGACAGCTCCACCGGCCTGAAAGTTCTTAAATACCTAAAGGGTAGGGCAACCTGTGATGTCAGTTGGGTGACCCCGCCTCCTTGTAATGTCATCTACCCAGCATTCCCCAGTGATAGACTATCAGGTCAGTGGAGCTGTCATACGGCGGGAGCCAGTGTCAAGACAGAGCCTTTTTTTTTTCTTTTTTCAGGGCAGCGGTGGAGGCATAGTGATTAACGTTGGATCTACTTCAGGGGACATTTTTTTAAATTTTTGTTGTTTTAATAAACGACTTGTAAAAGTCTGTCTACTGTAATTTTTTACACTACACTATTTTTTTTGTGAATGAGTAGTGGTACCATGTACCCCATACTCATTCACATAGGAGATTCCGATAAGCCCCCCGCCTGCAGACCCCCACAACCACAGACCAGGGTTGTGGGGCAGAGGCTGTTGTCCCCATCAACATGGGGACAAGGTTCTTTGGGATGGGGACCCCCCTGCCCCAAAGCACCCCCCCCATGTTGAGGGCATATGGCCTGGTGTGGTTTGGTGAATTGTAATTTCAGTACCACATGTGATACGTGGTTTAAAGGGGCAGTCATTTTTCATTGCTAAAAGTAAAAAAAAAACAAAAATTGAAAAAATTCCTTTAAATATAATGCCTGGGGGGTCCCTTTTAACAAGTGGGCCCCCAGATCCCGCCCCCCTTGTGAATAAGTATGGGGTACATAGTGCCCTTACCCATTCACCTAAAAGTGTACAATGTGAATAAAAACACAACAGTTTTTGACAAGTCCTTTGTTAAAAAAAAAGCCAAAAAAAATGGTTCTGTCGATGTAATCCATAATCAATCACGGCGTCCAGCGTTGTCACAATGACGCCGACTCGCTGAAATAAAAACAAAACCCCAACGCCTACAGACCTGTCCAAACCTGACGAGCTCTTGCCGCTATCTGACATTTGCCGGTAAGATGTAAACAACTGGGTGGAGCTACCAGTGATGTCACTGCTAGCTTTGCCTAGTTGTGCTGTGATTGGCCAAAGCATTGCACCTGGCCAGTGGTCAGGTGCATTGCTTTGGCCAATCACAATGTACTATCAGCACAGTGCATTGTGTGGCGCGGCAAGCGAGCAGCCTGCCAAACGCCCTAACTTATGTTCGACTTGAACATCAAGCCCATAACTAGTGGTGACCCCAAGTGTTCTTACACTGCCGGCTTTATTCTTCTTAATATTAAGCGAATAAAAGCCCAGTAGGGATGATGGGAACCCCTCATAATGTGCAGACCTGCAGAGATTTCACCACTGGAATCCCTAAAATGTAAAAGAAGCTATTGGGTGATTTAGATTGTCAGCATCTGCCAAAGATTGAAACAAATGGTCTTAGTTGGACTGATCCTTTAAATCATGATTTGTCTAACATTTTATTTGTTCCCAGGTAAAAAACTTCAGGGATATTGACCCAGAGTATGGCTCCCGTATTCAGGCCCTTCTGGATAAGTACAATGCTGCCAGTGGAAAAAAAGTAGGTGTCCTTTTCAAAGCAATAATGTACATTTTTCCCCAGTTTAAGAAATGTCATCACTGTGGGTGCTACATGACAAAGATTGGCATCTAAAGGAAAAGCTACATGAAGCTCACAATAAAACTCAAACTTCTACTGAAAAAGAAATGGCTGGGTTTACATCTAGTACAGGCTTTCTCCAATCTTTTTGTCCAGAGAATCCTTGAAATAATTTTCAGGTCTTGTTAAACCTCTGCTAAAACCAGTTGTTTGTGGGTTAGTGGAAAAAATGATCCTTATATTAGTGGTCAGTGAGAAGAATGCTCCTTACATTGGTGTTTAGTGGGAAGAATGTTCCTTACATTGGTGTTTAGTGGGAAGAATGTTCCTTACATTAGTGGTCAATGGGAAGAATGTTCCTTACATTGTGGTCATTGGAAAGAATGCTCCTTACATTGGTAGTCAATGAGAAAAATGTTCCTTACATTGGTGGTCAGTGGGAAGAATGCTCCTTACATTGGTGGTCAGTGGGAAGAATGCTCCTTACATTGGTGGTCATTGGGAAGAAGAATGCACCCCTTACAGTATTGATCAGAATGCCACCCTGACAAATGGTGTTGGCCTCATAGTTCCAGGAACCCTTGGCAACTTCTGTAAGTACCCTAGGGTTCCACGGAACCCTGGTTGAGAAAAGCTGCTATAGTGACTAAACTGTATGCCATTGGATTTAAGGAAGTCATATAGACCATTGTTAAAGCAAATCAAATTCCTCCAGGGTGTCCTAAGTGTAAACTATTCACAGCATGGCACCAATCTGTATAACTTAGTCCAGAACTGCAGGGTCAACCTGGAGTTCCAGCCTAGCAATACTGTATATACAAAATATTGCCAAAAGTATTGGGGCACCGCTCCAAATCATGTGATTCAGGTGCTCCAATCACCTCCATGGCCACAGGTGTATATAATCAAGCACCTAGGCATGCAGACTGCTTCTACAAACATTTGTGAAAGAATGGGTCGCTCTCAGGAGCTCAGTGAGTTCAAGCGTGGTACCGTGATAGGTTGCCACCTGCGCAATAAGTCCATCGGAGAAATTTCCTTGCTACTAAATATTTCATGCTCAACTGTTAGTGGTATTATAACAAAGTAAAAGCAACTGAGAACAGCAACTCAGCCACGTAAAATGACAGAGCGGAGTCCGTGCATGCTGAAATGCACAGTGTGCAGAAGTCGCCAACTGTCTGCATAGTCAATAGCTTAAGACCTCCAAACTTCATGTCGCCTTCAGATTAGCATAACACCAGTGTGTAGAGAGCTTCATGGAATGGGTTTCCATGGTCGAGCAGCTGCATCCAAGCCTTACATCACCAAGTGCAATGCAAAGCGTCGGATGCCGTGGTGTAAAGCACGCCACCACTGGACTCTAGAGCAGTGGAAACGTGTTCTCTAGAGTGACGAATCACGCCTCTCTCTCTGGCAATCTGATGGACATGTCTAGGCTTGGCGGCTGCCAGAGAAAGGTACTGGCCAGACTGCATGTGCCAAGTGTAAAGCTTGGTGGAGGGGGATTATGGTGTGGGGTTGTTTTTCAGGGGTTGGGCTTGGCCCCCTAGTTCCAGTGAAGGGAACTCTTAAGGCGTCAGCATACTAAGTCATTTTGGACAATTTCATGCTCCCAACTTTGTGGGAAGAGTTTGGGGATGGCCCCTTCCTGTTCCAACATGACTGCACACCAGTGCACAAAGCAAGGTCCATGAAGACATGAATGAGCGAGTCCTGACCTCAACCCCATAGAACACCTTTGGGATGAATTAGAGCGGAGACTGTGAGCCAGGCCTTCTCTTCCAACATCAGTGCCTGACCTCACAAATATGCTGCTGAAAGAATGGTCAAACCTTCCCATAGACACCCTCCTAAACCTTGTGGACGGCCTTCCCAGAAGAGTTGAAGCTGTTATAGCTGCAAAGGGCAGGCCAACTCAATATTGAACCCTACGGACTAAGACTGGGATGCTATTAAATTTCATGTGCGTGTACAGGCAGTCATCCTAATACTTTTGGCGATATAGTATAAGTAATGAAAATGGAAAAGCTTTATTAAAAATTTAATTCGCATGTTGATGAGAGGAAAAGGAGGAACCAGGGAAGGCAAATTATAGACAAATCAAACCTCAGCTTTAAAGTGACTGAAGAAGGAGCTGGTAATCAAATACCTAGAAGTGTGGGATACCTGCAGCGGCTGAATGTGGCAAAGCAGCAGTGTTTGAATAATAACTTTGTATATTTTTCCTTTTCTTGTAGGAACCCCTGCATAATTATATTCGCCATGTGTGTCCCAAGGCTCAGTAGAGGACAGGAAACTTCTACAGACGGAGAAAGGAAGAATAAGTTCTCATTTCATTATTGAAGCTTTAATGTTCCTGCAAACAATTTTTAATAACAAAGCATATTAAGATTTTTGTTTGTTTTAAGTTAAAAGTTTTAAAAGTTCATATAAGGTAGTGGGGTGAATGATGTAGATATAAAGGTAGGGAAAGCTTGAACTAGATGTGACCAGTTCTTACCATGGGAATGGGAAAGTAGTCATAAAAGCATGTCCAATACAATTAAACTCCTTTGTATGGAGAAAGTTTAATGTAGGTTCAGGGGCGGACTCACCATTTGGAAACTCTGGCACTGCCCGAGGGCCTGGGGTCAGTAGGGGGCCCCCTGAGATGCCCCTGGTACCTTTTTCATAGGCTTTTTTTAGTTTGGGCAAGGATACAGGGGCCCCATGATCCCCTATTGCCCGGGGGCCCCATGAGTTGTCAGTCCGCCCCTGTGTAGGTTAGAGGATAAGGAGTGAGAATGAGAGAAGTTTATCCATGTGTACCATTGGTATAGAATGCATCTCTTCAGTTGTTATCGTTGTCATGTAGCTGCTCCATTTTGGTGTCTATGGTGTCTACCATAACGTCCATGGTGGGAAGATACAGGTGTCTCAGTACAGAGGGATGAGCTGTCTAGATGCAGATATGACATGGTGGTAGGGGAAAGCTTGAACAAGGTGTGACCAGATCTCACCATGGGAAGGAGAGTGCAGTCATAAAAGCATGCTCAATTCCTTTGTACGGAGAAAGTTTAATGTAGGTTAGAGGCTAAGGAGTGAGATTTAGAGAAGTTCATCCATATGTACCCTTGGGACACAAATGCCTCTCTTCAGTTGTTATCGTTGATGTGTAGCTCCTTCATTCTCATATTAGTCATGGTGTTTACCATAACGTCCAAGGTGGGGTGATACTGGAATCCCAGAACAGAGGGATGAGCTGTCTAGACACAGATATGACATGGCATAGCAGCAGCCTCTTCACGTTGGAAATAGTACCAGGGAGGATTTATACTAGAGGTATATCTAGGGTGGAGTGGCCAAGAAAGGAATTTTTCAAAAATTGTTCTTCCTGATTAGTATCCACTGAAACAATTTTTATGTGAGATGGAAAACCCATTGACCTGATGACCACATCTACCCATGTATGTCCCCACCACCCTCTAACATTTATCAGAGGAGCTGGGCAACCATATTCATAAATGTCCAATTGACTTGATCTGAAATTCTGTGGCCAGTTTAATATTTTATTGCTGTGAGCTATTATCTGTTTGACAAAATAAATAATTTCAGTTCTTGTTGTTAATCAGAAATAAAATGTTCTCTTTTTCTTCTGCATATTGTATGAATCAAAGAGCCACCGGCCTCAAAATACTCCCAATGTACGGTATATAACTGTACGTGCTGACAAAATGGGCCAAAACATTTAAACGGCATAGCCCCACTACAAGGGTTAATGTTTCTTTTGCCCGGAGTTGGGCTTTAAATGTGGTAGCTGCATTCAGGGGTTTTTTTTTAGTGTTTTTTTTTTTCTTTATCACTTGTTGATCCTGCCAGTAACACACTTCCTGTCCACTCTGGATGGAAGAACAAGGGAGACACCTTTTGGACAGCAGTATTGTCAATCTGGGGAGAGGGTAGTGTTAAATGGACTAGTCAATTTAAACTTCACTAACAAAACTCCAGCTGACACTTTTTAAGCAGTTACAGTAAAATTATTTTCTCATTTGGACTAAAATGTTTACATAAATGAAATAAAGCACCCCTGTCAGTTGTAAATGGTTTGTCCCAACCATCTAACTGCCATTTTTGCTGGACAGCTCTGTCCATTAAAGGATTTTGAAAAATAACAGACTTACTGGCAGGATCACCAATAGAAACTAAAGGGAAAAAATACAAAAGAGAAAACTAATGCAGTCACCCCATTCTATGAATTGCTAAGCTGCAGTTTAATATGTTTGGTTTGGGCTTTACCACCACTTTAACTGCACTTTAAATGCTTCTCCTTTAAATGTTGCATTTGCTTTTTTCATTTGTATAATTTTTAAATAAGAAGTACAGCCAAAGCTTGTTTGGATTTCAGGAGTGCAATTCATTTTGCACTCCTGTGACCAGGGGTGGACTGACCATTTGGAAACTGCCCGAGGGCCCGAGGTCAGTAGGGGGCCCCATGAGATGCCCTTGGTACCTTTTTCATAGGCTTTTTTGAGTTTGGGCAAGGACACAGGGGCCCCATGATCCCCTATTGCCCGGGGGCCCCATGAGTTGTCAGTCCGCCCCTGCCTGTTACTCGGTTTAAGCTGACAGCACCCTGAAGCCCACTGTCGTCTGATGTCACAGAGCTGGTCCAGGCTGGGGTAAGTTCATGACCAGGGGCGGACTGACAACCCACGGTGCCCCCGGGCAATAGGGGATCATGGGGCCCCTGTGTCCTTGCCCATACTCAAATCACACCCAAAAAAGCCTATGAAAGGTACCAGGGACATCTCATGGGGACCCCTATTGACCCCGGGCCCTCGGGAGGTGACCGAGTTCCCCAATGGTCAGTCCGCCCCTAATCATGACTATATTGTCGGGATGCACCCAGGAGCCTGGACCGGCACGTGGCTCAGACTCTCAACAAACCACTGAAAGCCTGAGCCAGCCGCTCACACTGCTCCATTGAGCACTGGAAGTGCAGAGCAGAGAGCCGGTGACTGACAGTCACTACTCTTTGCTCAGAGCGGTGAGAGGAACTGTGCGACCAGCTG